AGTGTCGCTGCAGGTGACGTGGCTCTGTCCAGTCAGCAGCATGCAATATTCGAACTTCGACTTTCCGAGCTTCTTGGTCAAGTAATCAGCTGCCATCTCGGATGTGGGGCAGTAAGACAGCTCAAGTCTTCCCTTCTCGATCTCGTCCTTTACGAAGAAATATCGCAGGGCGAAATGTTTCGTCCTGTTCGCGAATCCATTTTTGTTGGCGATGCGAATTGCCGACTGGTTGTCGCAAAATAGGGAGAAGCTGGGTAACTGGGCCAGCTTCGCTTCCTCCAGAAGTTCGCGAAGGTACAGTCCTTCCTTGGTGGCTGAGCAGAGTGCGATATATTCAGCTTCAGCTGAGGAGAGGGCGATTAATTCCTGTTTTCTCGACTGCCACGAAATAGGTCCGATAGGCTCGAGGCGATAGATGTAGCCTGTGCGCGAGCGCCTGTTGTCAGGATCTCCGGCGTGGTCGGCGTCGACGTAGCTGATTAGCTTGGGCGTTGTAGTTATGTTCTTGTAGTAGATCAGGCCGATCGTCAGAGTGCTTACGAGGTAGTGTAGAGCGCGATCGAGCTCCTTCATGTGTTCGTCTTCAGGCCTTTTGAGGTAGGTGGCGAGTTGACTTGCTGAATATGATAGGTCTGGACGGCAGGTGACGGCCGCGAAGAGAAGGCATCCCAGCTTTCTCTGGTAGTTGCGTGTGCCGGCGGGTTTCAGTGGAGCAGATTCTGCCTTGTCATTTCCTGCCGTGTAGCGGTATGGCGTAGAGATGGTAGTTGGTGTGAATGCGAACCGTTTGGCGATGGTGTCGGCATATTTTGCGGCGTTGAGATAGATCGCGCCTTCTTCTTCTTGGATGTTGAGGCCGAGGTACTGCGTGACGGTAGATGAAACCGTGAGCGTAAGATCTCTCTGTAACTCCCCTTCGAACCAGGTAGTGACGTTGTCGGTTGACCCGATGTAAAGCAGATCGTCTACGTAGACGATTAGTAGAATGTAGTCATCGCCTTTCGTGAGCCGGTACATTCCTTGGTCATGCGGTAGTTGTCGGAATCCGATGCGAGTGAGTCGAGCGTGTAAGTACTGCTGCCACAGTCTCGGGGCCTGTTTGATCCCGTACAAGGACTTCAGTAGCTGGCAGACTTGGTTAGGTTCTCCATGGGAACCGTGTGGAAGTTCGACGAAGATTTCTGCGTTGACAGGTGCGTAGAGAAAAGCATTGGCAACGTCGATTTGCCGCAGCTTCTTTTTCTTCATAGCGGCGATCGCGAGAAGAATCCGTAGTGAGGTGTGTCGACTAACCGGTGCGAATGTCTCGGTGAAATCGCGTCCGTGCTCTTGGTCGAAGCCACGTACGACCCAGCGTGCCTTGAACTTATCGATGGTGCCATCTGCTTTTGTCTTCACACGGAAGACCCACTTCCCGGTGAGTATTGTCTTGTTTCGTGCCACGCTGATAGGAACAACTTTCCAGGTGTTGCGCTCCTGTAGTGCTTTCAGTTCCTTGTCCATGGCTTCACGCCATTTTTCCTTATGCTCCCCCCCCAGAGCCTGCTGAACTGTGGCAGGCTCCTTAGGAGTATCCGTGCCGTGGACCGCGGTGACGAGACTAAGTATCTGAAGGCCACTCTGTGTGTAGCGGGGGAGTGTTATGTCCTCGGGATAAGCTGCTTCGTCTCCTGTTTCTGGGTTAGGTATGAAGTTGGGCCCTATGCGTTCTGCTTCGTTGGTGTTGACTTCTGCAGGTGTAACGTAACCAGTGTCGGCGAGGTCGAAATAAGTTTCGGCGTTGACGCTTTCGCGAGGATTTTCGTCATCCATCGGGATAGGCACGGAGCAGTACGGGAGTGGTCCTGCTTCTTTCGAGGCGTTATCAACGTTCTGCTCGTCCCAGTCAGCTTCGTCTGCTGCCGAGGCGAAGTGTCGGTCACCATGGAAGCCACCTGTGGGATCCCGATTTTCTTCCAGGTTGGCAAGGTATGTCGGAAGGGTGAGGCGTTCGTAGAAAATGACGTCACGTGCTGCTACTGTTTCTTTGGAGTGGACGTTGAAAATCTTCCACGCGTTGTAATTTCTTTCGATGCCCAGGTGTAGTCCCCACTGTGCTCGTTGGGAAAATCGGCCGGCTCGTGCAGATGGGGGTCGGTACTGTACCATGCAGCCGAAAACTCTTAACATTTTTGTGCTGCCCTGTTTTCCTGTCCACAGCAGGTGCGGTGATGCGTTGTTCGGTAGTGACGACGACGAAAGCAAGTTGTGCAGCATGACAGCGTGGTCCATCGCTTCAGGCCACTGGTGATTGGGCAGTCGCATGCCACGCAGTAATTTGCGCATGGTGTTCTGGAGAGTTCGATTCATCCGTTCCGCCACGCCTTGCTGTTGATGGGCGTAAGGAAGCGAGATGAGCCTTTTGATTCCCTTTTCTGCCAAGAACTGCTTGAACCTCTGTGAGGTGTATTCTCCTCCTCCGTCTGACTGAAAGCTTTTCAGTTTCTCGCCTGATTCTCGTTCTGCCACTGGGAGCCAAGCGATGAAGGCTTCGAAGGCCATGTCCTTGCTCGGAAGATTGAGGTGCCAAACGTAATGTGTAGCTGCATCGATGAATGTGATGGTATAACTGTATGCTCCTTGTCCAGGTTCGCGGTTGTACAAGATGTCGCTGTACAATTTCTCAAGTGGTGCGTAAGCTGGTGCGCTGGGGTTGTGGTGAGAAGTAAATGGCCGATGTGGTAAGTCTGCTTCGGGGCAGGTAAAGCACGTTCCACGAGCTCGTCGAAGTTCTGTTCCATCAGTTAGAAGCAGTGAATCTTTGTCGAGCACTCCTGCTCTGATTGTGCTGTTTAACACCGTGTTGCTTGGATGTCCCATTCGTGCGTGCCAGATGTCTTCGCTGGCGCGATGTCCGGGTGAGCGGCGATACAAGTCAGAGTTGGAGTAGAAGCTTGCGGTGAAGTTTGCACTTCGATGTTCTTCTCGTGTTTTTGGGTGAAGCTGCTGCGCAGGAGTCGACGGGGTGTCGTCGATTTGAGGTGATGTAGTTGAAGGACCAGCGATTAGTGTCGATGTTGCTGCTGCTGCTGCCGATGTTGTCTCTGCTGCTGTTGATGTTATTTCTGCTGCTGCCGAGTGTTGAATTGTCGCTAATGCTCTTGTTCGTTCTGCCTCAGGGATGGTGTGCGAATACCAGAAGCCTTCTGGACTGAAGTCGGGGTCAAGATCCGGTGGATGTGTCCAAGAGGTGAAGGTGACAATCCCGTCGCTGTCGGCAGTGCCGAGATCTGGAACAAAGTCGAGGACGAATACGTTGTTTTTCAAGACTGCCTTTCCGATGTAGAGACCACCCTTGCCGTGGTATAATTTAAACTCCTGAGTGGTGCTGTCTGCCTCGAGGTGTATGCCCTTCGCCATCAGCTGACTGACGCTCAGTAGGTTGTAACCGAGTCCTTCTGCTATCAAAACCTTTGACATCTGCAGTATGACGTTTGTTTCTCGTGACTGAAGTTGTACTACGCCTTGTCGTCGTGTGCGCAGGTTCTGATTGTTGGCGACGGTGATGACGACTTCACGTTGAAGTTGGTGTTCACGTTGAACAAAGCGTCCTGAGGAGCACATATGCTGTCCACAGCAACTGTCCAAGAACCACGTATCCTTCCCGGATGGCTCGCTTTGAGCGATGGCTGCGTACGTTGGATTTGGTTGAAGTGACTCGCGACGAGGCGTCCTGTTGTCAAGTTGTTCTTCCGGTGAGTAATGTGGTGGAGACTCGGTGATGCAGGAATCGGTCAGCCGTGTCATACAACTGACGATATTTCTTGTTTCTTGCGCAGGTTGTCCCGTCGATGTTGTTGAGACTTGTACTTGAGATGTCGGATTTGCTTGCATTGAGGCAACTTGACTGCTTGAAGGCCGAAGTTGCCGCTGCGTCGGTTCTGATTGTTGTCGGTTAGGACAGTGTGTACGAGGATGTCCTGACGTCTTGCAGAGGTGACAGAACGGAGGTACTAGTTTCGGTTGATGCTGATAGTTGTTGTTGTTGTAGCGCCGTTGAGTGTGGAATGCGAATTCAGGTACTGATGCCTTCTTGTTATGTCGTTCTTCTTGCAGGTCCATATCTTGCTGCTCAGCGTGGATCTCGGCGCAGAGTGCTGCTTCTGATATCTTTCCATGCGCTCAAGCGTTCGAGAGCCAGCGAGAATCGAGAACGAGACCTTGACGTCACGCATGGCCGCTTTACCCGCTACCACACTTCACCTATCACGAAGTGAAGCACTAAGATTACAGTATATTGCCAAATGTAGCACTGTCATTTCAGCATACCTCACCCTGTGCAGCCCTGACAATTCAGGGCAAATTCTGATTTCCTAAAAACTGCCCTGAGGCCTCAGTGTACCCCCAAACGAATCTGAGGCCCTGGGGGGTATAGTACAAACGGGGTCAACTATAACACCCACCCCGCACAAGCCACCCGGGGACTACAAATTCGGCGGGTGGTATGTCCGGGTGATTACGGTACACGAGGGTGACAGGGGCGAAATGTGTGAGGTCGGGCAAGATGGGGAAGCTCAAGAGGGCCAGAGGGGTTTTCGAAGCAGAACGAAAAATGCTGATGAGGATCAGGGAGGTCGGCGACAAAAAGTGGAATTGGTTGGCCAGTTTCGCTGCAATCTGGAACAAGCCGAGTAGGGCATTCCTACTGCCCTAGTCGTCTCGCTGGGCAGCGCAAGGTGTCTGCCTTCACGCTCAGTAACGACTGCTATTGTTGTATGCATTGTCCTCTTTAATGTATACTGCAATTACCAAAATAAAAATAATAAAAAAATCTTATGCCTGCGGTGAGGAAAGGTCGGAAAAATTGGCCACACTTCAATATGTTGCGACAAAGTAGAGGTTGAAACTACGAAGTAGCTGGGCAAAAGGTTTTACTCAAATAAGCTACACCATTTCCTTTCCATCACTGAAAGCATGACATGTGATTGGCTTGCTACGACAATACGGTATATATTTTGTCATTAAAACTCATCAGGCTCGTCATCGTCAAACGGATCTCTTTCAGGGTATTCTCCAATCTGCAAAGGCAGAAGGTGGAGTCAGAATCAAATTGCACTGTGGAAGAAGGGGAAATTACTGGGTTAAAAGGCAACTGGTCCCTCTCACTTTGACTTTGTCTGGCCGCAGAAACGAGCCGTAATTGCGCTCACAATGAAAGACCTTCTTACCCTCCACACTGCAAGCAGAGACAAAAGAAGCCACAATGCAAGCTATGCGGCCTGCATTAGAATGCTGGGCATGATAACGGAGCAACACAGAAGAGAGAAAAAGAGAAGCTGAAAGAGAAGGGTGGAATAATAGAAGCTCAACAATATATAATAATAATAATAAAATCTACGCACCTTCCATCATTGACCCCCACAGGCTCATCGAACTTCACTCCCACCCAGAATCCATTAGGAAGAACATCTACAGTGCCCACAAAGGCAACGCTTCCTCTCTTGCCGCCTGGGTCCACCTCACATCTGTCACCAACCTGCAAGCAGACAGATGACTCAGAGTTGAAAAACAAAAACAATGAAAGTGAGGATTTCAAGAACCAGATTGTGTGACACGAAAAACAGAATGCTGGTATGGGGCACACTTGATGCGCCATTTGAGAGAAATTCGACACCTTTATGGTTGCTGCAATGTCAGCCATGAAGTCCGCAGAAGTACCCTGAAATGTGGAAACCAGAACGTTTCAAGGTCCATAATTGATATCTGAAACATCAGGAGATTTGATTTTGGACGAGAGAAGGCCAACAGCAGGAAGGAAGATCGAGCTTACAGGCTGAGGGGCAAGGTCAGGCCGTGCAGTATACAGTTGTTGCTTGAACCTCCGAGCAGAATCTGTTAGACATGTGTTGAAGTGTGAGTTCCTGACAGTGAAACATTGTCAGACGTTGCTCGTGGAAAGATGGATTCCGCATCATTTACCATCTCGTTTTTCATAATCTTCTTCAGAAATCGTGTATTTCTCCACCAAGGACGTGTCGTCCAGCCATCCAGAGGCAGCTGCTGAGGTGGGATCAGTGTCAATCACGTGGAGACGGTACCTGTCCAAAACAAAAAGAAATTTCAATTTCAAATATGCAGAGATTGGGCGTTGCTCAATAAAATCACTTCCATCGTCAGGAGCCTCACTTGAAAGGCCAGTAAGCTTCGGTTCATGAAGAGTACCCGTTTTGAGGGGAGTAGTATCCCAGCAGTCGAATGTCCTCGAGTCCTGAATGTAACAATGTGTCTGTTTCTGGCGACTTGCTGGAAGCACTGAAAAGCTGCAGCTGCATGGCTGACACGGCTGTCCCGGTGTGCACCTGAAGCTGCTCCTTCACGCGCTCTACAGAGCTCTGCTCAGAGAGAGAACAGCACGGATTGTACGTATCTATGAATCCAAAAACGGGTACTTTTCTCAGATAATGGAACGACGTAAAGATTTTTCGCCTCAACGTGCGAATTCAAACTATCACACAAGAATAACACGTCAAGGAAACAAATGACGAATAGGTCTGCTGATGAAGGGGAGCGACTCGGTGAACTTGCACTTAGCGAGAACTTCATGTCAATGAATTGCCGCTTCAGATGACTGTGCGTTACGAGCAGAGACACGGTGTCGCCGTCGTTAGGAGCAGCAAGAGCGCTGGAACCCGTGGGACCATCTCGTACGTAACTCTTTAGAGCCTCAAAGTCTAGAGCAGCCATCGCTGGCTAAAGTGAATAGAAGACGTGCAGACAATCAGTCGACGCAGAAACCTAGTTGTTACATCCCACCCAACCAAAAATGGCCCTCCAGGGGGTCCCTCTGAAGAAACGAACTCGGTACAGTAAGCATGTGGCTGGGTTTGTTGTCGGAATGTTCTGTGGTGTATGAACCCGCCCGTGTTTTTACTGTTTCAGCGCGTATGAACCTTTGAGTAATTGTGGGCGTGTGTGATATTTTTTCGAAGTTCGAGCTGTTATAACGGTTCTACACGGTAGGATACAGTTAAGAGATGCGTGGCCACGGTGCAAAACGGTTTGAGTTCGAACTTTGACAGTTTTCCAAAAATCACACACGCCCTAATCACTTCCTTGATATTGCATTCTGCGCACTCTCTTCCTTGACAACTTATAACACCCTAGGTTTGGACATTACAGCAAGGAACGACTAGCTTTCTTTTTTGCTCATTTCCGAAGGCCACACGGGTGGTTTCCGGCGCCTCGAGACCAACCTAACCTGCCGTACACTCGCCATGGTGCCGCCTCCTATCGCCCGCGCAGTTCAGCAGGTGCAGGGCGTCGCGCAAGCCGCGGCGCAATTCGCGCAGGAGCTCGTTTTCGAGCTGCGCACCGAGTCGCAGGAGGCGCTGCGAACGGGCCTCGGCATTCCCAGGGCGGTTACCAGCATCGCCAGCTTCGGATGCTTCGTAAGCCGACCAGCTTACCCAATTCCCGTTCCTGAACCTTTTTCCCGTTCCGACTGTGCTGTTACCCATTCCTACCGAGCCGTTTTCCGTTCATGCCGTTCTGTCTCGCAATGTCTGTTCCTCCGTAGACGTAGGGTTTCCTTCCTGTCAGATCCGCTTTTCTCGTGCTCTCATTCCGATTTCCTCGAGGTTCCTCCTTTGCCAGCTTCCCCTGACGCCTGAAAGGAATCAGCCGTGTGACACAATCGAACGGAATTATTGCCAGGAAGTTACACTTCGGTATACGCATTTCGGATGAGATTTCGGTCATTGAAACTGGAAGTTCTGTCAGCGATAGCTTTCAGTCCTGCAAACCCTGAACCCCCTCCACTGTAACTGCAGGCAGTAGCAGCAGCGGGCACAGCAGCCATCACCACTGACTTCGTCGCTCGGTTATATGGCGCCAGGTAGGATGGTGCCACGTAAGACGATGCCAGGTAGGATGGTGCCACGTAGGACGTTGCTAGGTAAGTTGGTGCCACGCCACGTAGGATGGCGTGGGAGGGACTGGGCAAGTTGGATTCTGGGTTGAAATGGGATGGGCTGGAATTAAGAGTTGCTGTTGCAGTCGTGTGAATCCTTTCCCTCGTTTTCGTCCTTTATACTGTCTCACTCTCTGTGTGCATGCCATGCCGTGCTAATCTTATTCCATGCTACCATGCCATGCCATGCCATGCCATGCCCACATACCGTTTTTAATACATGCTGTGCCTTTTCCATGCCATGCCGTGCCACACACAGGGAGTGTGAGGGATGCAACGGGTGGGAAGGAGTGGCATGCACTACATGCCGAGGAACAGGACACACTAGAAGACAAGCACTGCCATCCAGCAAGTGCGTACCATCCCTTGTCTGTATGCAATTTCCTTTTCCCATTTCATGGCCTATGTCATGCCCCATTTCCCATACCCCCAGTTCCATGCTCCCCCGATTCTATGCTGATCTGCCATGCAACCTACCTCCTATTCCCATGGCCCATCCTGTATGCATTTCCCAATCATCCCCTTCCTCCCCATCCTTTATGCATTTCCCAATCATCCCCTTCCTCCCCATCCTGTATGCATTTCCCAATCATCCCCTTCCTCCCCATCCTGTATGCATTTCCCAATCATCCCCTTCCTCCCCATCCTGTATGCATTTCCCAATCATCCACTTCCTCCCCATCCTGTATGCATTTCCCAATCATCCACTTCCTCCCCATCCCCCTTCCACAGTTTTCTTTCCATGCCATGCTGTGCCTTATCCTCAAGTCCAATCTTGAGTCGACTCAGAAATGCACACCCAACCCTTCTTTCCTGATCACCCCCTTTCCCCAAACCCTCTTTCCCCAACCCCCCCCCCCCCCCCCCCCCCCCCCACCCTTCTACAACCCCTTTCCCAACCCTCAGGTCCTCTGGGCAATCTCTTCTCGTGGCATCACCACACCCGGCCGTCTCCTCCTCTGCCACTGCCTCACTGTGCCTCACTGTTCCCCACATGCCCCACATGCCCCACATGCCCCACATACCCCACATGCTCCTCTTTCCTTCAAACCCCCTTCCCCCCAACCCTCAGGTCCTCTGGGCAATCTCTTCTGGTGGCATCACCACACCCGGCCGTCTCCTCCTCTGCCACTGCCTCACTGTGCCTCACTGTTCCCCACATGCCCCACATGCCCCACATACCCCACATGCTCCTCTTTCCTTCAACCCCAACCCTCAGGTCCTCTGGGCAATCTCTCCTCGTGGCATCACCCCATCCCGCCGTCTCCTCTACTTCTTCCTCACTGTGCCCCACATCCTGCTCTTTTCTTCATTCCCCTCCTCCCCCCAACCCTCAGGTCCTCTGGGCAATCCCTCCTCGTCGCATCACCCCATCCCGCCCTCTCCTCTTCCTCCTCCTCCGCCTCTGCATCTGCCTCACTGTGCCCCACGTGCCACGGGTCAGGGGGCGATGTTTGAGGCGCCAATTTCCCCAACGCCCCCTTAACCCAACCCCCTTTCCCCCAATCCCTCCTCCCCCCAACCCTCAGGTCCTCTGGGCAATCTCTCCTCGTGGCATCACCTCACCCCGCCCTCTCCTCCGCCTCCTCCGCCGCACCTGCTTCGCTCTGCCCCACGTGTCATGGGTTAGGGTTGATAAAGTGCTTCTTGAAGGCTTATGAATTGAATGTGCCGCTTTCCTTTCCTCCAACCCAATTTACCCCAACCCTCAGGTCCTCTGGTCAATCCCTCCTGGTGGCATCACCTCACCCCGCCGTCTCCTCCGCCTCTGCATCTGCCTCACTGTGGCCCACATGCTCCCTTTTCCCCCAATCCCTCCTCCCCCCAACCCCCAGGTCCTCTGGGCAGTCTCTCCTGGTGGCATCACCACACCCCGCCGTCTCTTCATCTTCTTCCGCTGCCGCTGCCTCGCTGTGCCCCACGTGCCATGGGTCGGGCGTGATGAGATGCTCGGTGTGCAATGGAGACGCGTGGAAGCACAAGATCACGTTCGATAGGGTGAGATGGATGTGAGGGCGGCCAGGAAGGGGGGAGCAAGGAGAAAGGAGGGGAGGCCATCACTCTGCTGCCCCACGTGCCACGGGTCGGACGTGATGAATGCTATGTGTGCAATGGCGACGCGTGGAAGCACAAGATCACGTTCGATAGGGTGAGATGCGAGAAGGGCAGGCCAGGCAGAGGTGCAGGGAGAGGGATTGTGCGTGTGTGTTAACACCTCACTCTGCTGCCTCGCTGTGCCCCACGTGCCACGGGTCGGGCGTGATGAGGTGTTCTGTGTGCCATGGAGACGCGTGGAAGCACAAGATCACATTCGACTGGGTGAGAGAGGATGAGGGGATTACAGGGAGAGCGATTGTCTGTGTTGGTGCGCTGTGCCCCATGTGCTAGGGTCTGGGGTTATGAGGTGTTCCGTGTGCAATGGCGACGCGTGGAAGCACAAGATCACATTCGACTGGGTGAGAGAGGATGAGGGGATTACAGGGAGAGCGATTGTCTGTGTTCGTGCGCTGTGCCCCATGTGCTAGGGTCTGGGGTTACGAGGTGTTCCGTGTGCAATGGCGACGCGTGGAAGCACAAGATCACATTCGACTGGGTGAGAGAGGATGAGGGGATTACAGGGAGAGCGATTGTCTGTGTTGGTGCGCTGTGCCCCATGTGCTAGGGTCTGGGGTTACGAGGTGTTCCGTGTGCAATGGCGACGCGTGGAAGCACAAGATCACATTTGACTGGGTGAGAGAGGATGAGGGGATTACAGGGAGAGCGATTGTCTGTGTTCGTGCGCTGTGCCCCATGTGCTAGGGTCTGGGGTTACGAGGTGTTCCGTGTGCAATGGCGACGCGTGGAAGCACAAGATCACATTCGACTGGGTGAGAGAGGATGAGGGGATTACAGGGAGAGCGATTGTCTGTGTTCGTGCGCTGTGCCCCATGTGCTAGGGTCTGGTGTTACGAGGTGTTCCGTGTGCAATGGCGACGCGTGGAAGCACAAGATCACATTCGACTGGGTGAGAGAGGATGAGGGGATTACAGGGAGAGCGATTGTCTGTGTTCGTGCGCTGTGCCCCATGTGCTAGGGTCTGGGGTTACGAGGTGTTCCGTGTGCAATGGCGACGCGTGGAAGCACAAGATCACATTCGACTGGGTGAGAGAGGATGAGGGGATTACAGGGAGAGCGATTGTCTGTGTTGGTGCGCTGTGCCCCATGTGCTAGGGTCTGGGGTTACGAGGTGTTCCGTGTGCAATGGCGACGCGTGGAAGCACAAGATCACATTCGACTGGGTGAGAGAGGATGAGGGGATTACAGGGAGAGCGATTGTCTGTGTTCGTGCGCTGTGCCCCATGTGCTAGGGTCTGGGGTTACGAGGTGTTCCGTGTGCAATGGCGACGCGTGGAAGCACAAGATCACATTCGACTGGGTGAGAGAGGATGAGGGGATTACAGGGAGAGCGATTGTCTGTGTTCGTGCGCTGTGCCCCATGTGCTAGGGTCTGGGGTTACGAGGTGTTCCGTGTGCAATGGCGACGCGTGGAAGCACAAGATCACATTCGACTGGGTGAGAGAGGATGAGGGGATTACAGGGAGAGCGATTGTCTGTGTTGGTGCGCTGTGCCCCATGTGCTAGGGTCTGGGGTTACGAGGTGTTCCGTGTGCAATGGCGACGCGTGGAAGCACAAGATCACATTCGACTGGGTGAGAGAGGATGAGGGGATTACAGGGAGAGCGATTGTCTGTGTTCGTGCGCTGTGCCCCATGTGCTAGGGTCTGGTGTTACGAGGTGTTCCGTGTGCAATGGCGACGCGTGGAAGCACAAGATCACATTCGACTGGGTGAGAGAGGATGAGGGGATTACAGGGAGAGCGATTGTCTGTGTTCGTGCGCTGTGCCCCATGTGCTAGGGTCTGGGGTTACGAGGTGTTCCGTGTGCAATGGCGACGCGTGGAAGCACAAGATCACATTCGACTGGGTGAGAGAGGATGAGGGGATTACAGGGAGAGCGATTGTCTGTGTTGGTGCGCTGTGCCCCATGTGCTAGGGTCTGGGGTTACGAGGTGTTCCGTGTGCAATGGCGACGCGTGGAAGCACAAGATCACATTCGACTGGGTGAGAGAGGATGAGGGGATTACAGGGAGAGCGATTGTCTGTGTTGGTGCGCTGTGCCCCATGTGCTAGGGTCTGGGGTTACGAGGTGTTCCGTGTGCAATGGCGACGCGTGGAAGCACAAGATCACATTCGACTGGGTGAGAGAGGATGAGGGGATTACAGGGAGAGCGATTGTCTGTGTTGGTGCGCTGTGCCCCATGTGCTAGGGTCTGGGGTTACGAGGTGTTCCGTGTGCAATGGCGACGCGTGGAAGCACAAGATCACATTCGACTGGGTGAGAGAGGATGAGGGGATTACAGGGAGAGCGATTGTCTGTGTTCGTGCGCTGTGCCCCATGTGCTAGGGTCTGGGGTTACGAGGTGTTCCGTGTGCAATGGCGACGCGTGGAAGCACAAGATCACATTCGACTGGGTGAGAGAGGATGAGGGGATTACAGGGAGAGCGATTGTCTGTGTTGGTGCGCTGTGCCCCATGTGCTAGGGTCTGGGGTTACGAGGTGTTCCGTGTGCAATGGCGACGCGTGGAAGCACAAGATCACATTCGACTGGGTGAGAGAGGATGAGGGGATTACAGGGAGAGCGATTGTCTGTGTTCGTGCGCTGTGCCCCATGTGCTAGGGTCTGGGGTTACGAGGTGTTCCGTGTGCAATGGCGACGCGTGGAAGCACAAGATCACATTCGACTGGGTGAGAGAGGATGAGGGGATTACAGGGAGAGCGATTGTCTGTGTTCGTGCGCTGTGCCCCATGTGCTAGGGTCTGGGGTTACGAGGTGTTCCGTGTGCAATGGCGACGCGTGGAAGCACAAGATCACATTCGACTGGGTGAGAGAGGATGAGGGGATTACAGGGAGAGCGATTGTCTGTGTTCGTGCGCTGTGCCCCATGTGCTAGGGTCTGGGGTTACGAGGTGTTCCGTGTGCAATGGCGACGCGTGGAAGCACAAGATCACATTCGACTGGGTGAGAGAGGATGAGGGGATTACAGGGAGAGCGATTGTCTGTGTTCGTGCGCTGTGCCCCATGTGCTAGGGTCTGGGGTTACGAGGTGTTCCGTGTGCAATGGCGACGCGTGGAAGCACAAGATCACATTCGACTGGGTGAGAGAGGATGAGGGGATTACAGGGAGAGCGATTGTCTGTGTTCGTGCGCTGTGCCCCATGTGCTAGGGTCTGGGGTTACGAGGTGTTCCGTGTGCAATGGCGACGCGTGGAAGCACAAGATCACATTCGACTGGGTGAGAGAGGATGAGGGGATTACAGGGAGAGCGATTGTCTGTGTTGGTGCGCTGTGCCCCATGTGCTAGGGTCTGGGGTTACGAGGTGTTCCGTGTGCAATGGCGACGCGTGGAAGCACAAGATCACATTCGACTGGGTGAGAGGATGAGGGGATTACAGGGAGAGCGATTGTCTGTGTTCGTGCGCTGTGGCCCATGTGCTAGGGTCTGGGGTTACGAGGTGTTCCGTGTGCAATGGCGACGCGTGGAAGCACAAGATCACATTCGACTGGGTGAGAGAGGATGAGGGGATTACAGGGAGAGCGATTGTCTGTGTTCGTGCGCTGTGCCCCATGTGCTAGGGTCTGGGGTTACGAGGTGTTCCGTGTGCAATGGCGACGCGTGGAAGCACAAGATCACATTCGACTGGGTGAGAGAGGATGAGGGGATTACAGGGAGAGCGATTGTCTGTGTTCGTGCGCTGTGCCCCATGTGCTAGGGTCTGGGGTTACGAGGTGTTCCGTGTGCAATGGCGACGCGTGGAAGCACAAGATCACATTCGACTGGGTGAGAGAGGATGAGGGGATTACAGGGAGAGCGATTGTCTGTGTTCGTGCGCTGTGCCCCATGTGCTAGGGTCTGGGGTTACGAGGTGTTCCGTGTGCAATGGCGACGCGTGGAAGCACAAGATCACATTCGACTGGGTGAGAGAGGATGAGGGGATTACAGGGAGAGCGATTGTCTGTGTTGGTGCGCTGTGCCCCATGTGCTAGGATCTGGGGTTACGAGGTGTTCCGTGTGCAATGGCGACGCGTGGAAGCACAAGATCACATTCGACTGGGTGAGAGAGGATGAGGGGATTACAGGGAGAGCGATTGTCTGTGTTCGTGCGCTGTGCCCCATGTGCTAGGGTCTGGGGTTACGAGGTGTTCCGTGTGCAATGGCGACGCGTGGAAGCACAAGATCACATTCGACTGGGTGAGAGAGGATGAGGGGATTACAGGGAGAGCGATTGTCTGTGTTGGTGCGCTGTGCCCCATGTGCTAGGGTCTGGGGTTACGAGGTGTTCCGTGTGCAATGGCGACGCGTGGAAGCACAAGATCACATTCGACTGGGTGAGAGAGGATGAGGGGATTACAGGGAGAGCGATTGTCTGTGTTGGTGCGCTGTGCCCCATGTGCTAGGGTCTGGGGTTACGAGGTGTTCCGTGTGCAATGGCGACGCGTGGAAGCACAAGATCACATTCGACTGGGTGAGAGAGGATGAGGGGATTACAGGAAGAGCGATTGTCTGTGTTCGTGCGCTGTGCCCCATGTGCTAGGGTCTGGGGTTACGAGGTGTTCCGTGTGCAATGGCGACGCGTGGAAGCACAAGATCACATTCGACTGGGTGAGAGAGGATGAGGGGATTACAGGGAGAGCGATTGTCTGTGTTGGTGCGCTGTGCCCCATGTGCTAGGGTCTGGGGTTACGAGGTGTTCCGTGTGCAATGGCGACGCGTGGAAGCACAAGATCACATTCGACTGGGTGAGAGAGGATGAGGGGATTACAGGGAGAGCGATTGTCTGTGTTCGTGCGCTGTGCCCCATGTGCTAGGGTCTGGGGTTACGAGGTGTTCCGTGTGCAATGGCGACGCGTGGAAGCACAAGATCACATTCGACTGGGTGAGAGAGGATGAGGGGATTACAGGGAGAGCGATTGTCTGTGTTGGTGCGCTGTGCCCCATGTGCTAGGGTCTGGGGTTACGAGGTGTTCCGTGTGCAATGGCGACGCGTGGAAGCACAAGATCACATTCGACTGGGTGAGAGAGGATGAGGGGATTACAGGGAGAGCGATTGTCTGTGTTCGTGCGCTGTGCCCCATGTGCTAGGGTCTGGGGTTACGAGGTGTTCCGTGTGCAATGGCGACGCGTGGAAGCACAAGATCACATTCGACTGGGTGAGAGAGGATGAGGGGATTACAGGGAGAGCGATTGTCTGTGTTGGTGCGCTGTGCCCCATGTGCTAGGGTCTGGGGTTACGAGGTGTTCCGTGTGCAATGGCGACGCGTGGAAGCACAAGATCACATTCGACTGGGTGAGAGAGGATGAGGGGATTACAGGGAGAGCGATTGTCTGTGTTGGTGCGCTGTGCCCCATGTGCTAGGGTCTGGGGTTACGAGGTGTTCCGTGTGCAATGGCGACGCGTGGAAGCACAAGATCACATTCGACTGGGTGAGAGAGGATGAGGGGATTACAGGGAGAGCGATTGTCTGTGTTGGTGCGCTGTGCCCCATGTGCTAGGGTCTGGGGTTACGAGGTGTTCCGTGTGCAATGGCGACGCGTGGAAGCACAAGATCACATTCGACTGGGTGAGAGAGGATGAGGGGATTACAGGGAGAGCGATTGTCTGTGTTGGTGCGCTGTGCCCCATGTGCTAGGGTCTGGGGTTACGAGGTGTTCCGTGTGCAATGGCGACGCGTGGAAGCACAAGATCACATTCGACTGGGTGAGAGAGGATGAGGGGATTACAGGGAGAGCGATTGTCTGTGTTCGTGCGCTGTGCCCCATGTGCTAGGGTCTGGGGTTACGAGGTGTTCCGTGTGCAATGGCGACGCGTGGAAGCACAAGATCACATTCGACTGGGTGAGAGAGGATGAGGGGATTACAGGGAGAGCGATTGTCTGTGTTGGTGCGCTGTGCCCCATGTGCTAGGGTCTGGGGTTACGAGGTGTTCCGTGTGCAATGGCGACGCGTGGAAGCACAAGATCACATTCGACTGGGTGAGAGAGGATGAGGGGATTACAGGGAGAGCGATTGTCTGTGTTCGTGCGCTGTGCCCCATGTGCTAGGGTCTGGGGTTACGAGGTGTTCCGTGTGCAATGGCGACGCGTGGAAGCACAAGATCACATTCGACTGGGTGAGAGAGGATGAGGGGATTACAGGGAGAGCGATTGTCTGTGTTCGTGCGCTGTGCCCCATGTGCTAGGGTCTGGGGTTACGAGGTGTTCCGTGTGCAATGGCGACGCGTGGAAGCACAAGATCACATTCGACTGGGTGAGAGAGGATGAGGGGATTACAGGGAGAGCGATTGTCTGTGTTGGTGCGCTGTGCCCCATGTGCTAGGGTCTGGGGTTACGAGGTGTTCCGTGTGCAATGGCGACGCGTGGAAGCACAAGATCACATTCGACTGGGTTTGAGAGGATGAGGGGATTACAGGGAGAGCGATTGTCTGTGTTCGTGCGCTGTGCCCCATGTGCTAGGGTCTGGGGTTACGAGGTGTTCCGTGTGCAATGGCGACGCGTGGAAGCACAAGATCACATTCGACTGGGTGAGAGAGGATGAGGGGATTACAGGGAGAGCGATTGTCTGTGTTGGTGCGCTGTGCCCCATGTGCTAGGGTCTGGGGTTACGAGGTGTTCCGTGTGCAATGGCGACGCGTGGAAGCACAAGATCACATTCGACTGGGTGAGAGAGGATGAGGGGATTACAGGGAGAGCGATTGTCTGTGTTGGTGCGCTGTGCCCCATGTGCTAGGGTCTGGGGTTACGAGGTGTTCCGTGTGCAATGGCGACGCGTGGAAGCACAAGATCACATTCGACTGGGTGAGAGAGGATGAGGGGATTACAGGGAGAGCGATTGTCTGTGTTCGTGCGCTGTGCCCCATGTGCTAGGGTCTGGGGTTACGAGGTGTTCCGTGTGCAATGGCGACGCGTGGAAGCACAAGATCACATTCGACTGGGTGAGAGAGGATGAGGGGATTACAGGGAGAGCGATTGTCTGTGTTGGTGCGCTGTGCCCCATGTGCTAGGGTCTGGGGTTACGAGGTGTTCCGTGTGCAATGGCGACGCGTGGAAGCACAAGATCACATTCGACTGGGTGAGAGAGGATGAGGGGATTACAGGGAGAGCGATTGTCTGTGTTCGTGCGCTGTGCCCCATGTGCTAGGGTCTGGGGTTACGAGGTGTTCCGTGTGCAATGGCGACGCGTGGAAGCACAAGATCACATTCGACTGGGTGAGAGAGGATGAGGGGATTACAGGGAGAGCGATTGTCTGTGTTCGTGCGCTGTGCCCCATGTGCTAGGGTCTGGGGTTACGAGGTGTTCCGTGTGCAATGGCGACGCGTGGAAGCACAAGATCACATTCGACTGGGTGAGAGAGGATGAGGGGATTACAGGGAGAGCGATTGTCTGTGTTGGTGCGCTGTGCCCCATGTGCTAGGGTCTGGGGTTACGAGGTGTTCCGTGTGCAATGGCGACGCGTGGAAGCACAAGATCACATTCGACTGGGTGAGAGAGGATGAGGGGATTACAGGGAGAGCGATTGTCTGTGTTGGTGCGCTGTGCCCCATGTGCTAGGGTCTGGGGTTACGAGGTGTTCCGTGTGCAATGGCGACGCGTGGAAGCACAAGATCACATTCGACTGGGTGAGAGAGGATGAGGGGATTACAGGGAGAGCGATTGTCTGTGTTCGTGCGCTGTGCCCCATGTGCTAGGGTCTGGGGTTACGAGGTGTTCCGTGTGCAATGGCGACGCGTGGAAGCACAAGATCACATTCGACTGGGTGAGAGAGGATGAGGGGATTACAGGGAGAGCGATTGTCTGTGTTGGTGCGCTGTGCCCCATGTGCTAGGGTCTGGGGTTACGAGGTGTTCCGTGTGCAATGGCGACGCGTGGAAGCACAAGATCACATTCGACTGGGTGAGAGAGGATGAGGGGATTACAGGGAGAGCGATTGTCTGTGTTGGTGCGCTGTGCCCCATGTGCTAGGGTCTGGGGTTACGAGGTGTTCCGTGTGCAATGGCGACGCGTGGAAGCACAAGATCACATTCGACTGGGTGAGAGAGGATGAGGGGATTACAGGGAGAGCGATTGTCTGTGTTGGTGCGCTGTGCCCCATGTGCTAGGGTCTGGGGTTACGAGGTGTTCCGTGTGCAATGGCGACGCGTGGAAGCACAAGATCACATTCGACTGGGTGAGAGAGGATGAGGGGATTACAGGGAGAGCGATTGTCTGTGTTGGTGCGCTGTGCCCCATGTGCTAGGGTCTGGGGTTACGAGGTGTTCCGTGTGCAATGGCGACGCGTGGAAGCACAAGATCACATTCGACTGGGTGAGAGAGGATGAGGGGATTACAGGGAGAGCGATTGTCTGTGTTGGTGCGCTGTGCCCCATGTGCTAGGGTCTGGGGTTACGAGGTGTTCCGTGTGCAATGGCGACGCGTGGAAGCACAAGAACACATTCGACCTTCCGTCCTTCCGTCCTTGCCCCTCCCCCGTCCTCCTACCTCATGCACTCCACCTCCCTCCTCCATCCGCCCTCCACCCCTCTTCCACCCCTCTTTCTCTCACCCCCGCACCACCCTTCTTCCCGCTCCTTTTCCCTGCCCTGCTCCCAGGTCCTGGACTCGCCACTTAAAGCCTGGGATGCCTATCGGATGGCCAAACCTGTCATGGTACGTGGCTTGGTGGCGTGACACACATGTTGTCACGGCACGTGATGTGACGTGGTGGCGTGGCGCAGTGCATGGGATGACAATAGGTTTTGGCCGACTTCTGAGGCGTCTCAGGAGTAGCGTGGGATGCATGGCATGGCATGGCATGGCATGGCATGGCATGGCATGATTCAAGCGTCGCTGAGAGGGCATGGTTGGTGGCTCGACACCTGGCATGGCACTTTTGAGAAGTCTCAAAAGCAGCACAATGCGTGGTCAGTGGCACTCAAGGGTGTTTGCCGTGCAAGAGGTGTATCACAGAAGTCGGCACAAGGGATTTGACACATGGCATCGCAAGTTGCGTACAGACAAGCAACACCAAATCATGCGCTGTGCTGTGGTACAGCACAGTGTTTCTCACTGTTGTTGGTGCACACTGTTTTATCGCTTTGCTGCGTATGGGTGTGTTCAATGGGGATCCCAACCGCGCTGCCTTCTGGTTGCTGCAGCGGCCCTCTTGTTCGCCTCAACCCTTCTCCATGCACCTCCTCTCTCTTCCCTCCCCTTTTCTCCGCTTTCCCCCGCAGCCATCCCCCGAGGCAATGCAAGACCCCAACCACGCTGCCTTCTGGCTGCTGCTCTCTTGTCTGCAGACCTTTTCCCTCTCCCATCCGCCTCTCCCTTCCCCCTTCCTCCCCTCCCGCTCACAGCCATCCCCCGAGGCAATGCAAGACCCGAACCGCGCTGCCTTCTGGTTGCTGCAGCGGCCGGCAGTGGAGGAAGGGGTGGAGATGAGCGAGAGGGACAAGGAGACCGTGTGGTGGGAGCACCAGGTATGGCATGCAGGAGCATGGGGTGTGTGGGGTGTGGGGTGAGTGCATGGGGTATGGCGTATGGTGGGAATGGGTGGCGTGTAGGCATGTGGCATGCAGCATGTGGCATGCAGCATGTAGCATGTGCATGGGGCATGTGACATGTGAATAGGGCATGTGACATGTGCCGTTTGGCATGCAACACCAATGGCTGGCCGTTCCTATGCCGCGTCTCTGCTGCTTGCCTTTTGCTGGTGTGACCTTTTCTTGCTTCCAGCTCCTCAGAACTCTCCCATTCCTCCTACCCTCTCTCGCTATGTCCCTGTTCCAGTGGAAGCAACGGTACGAGGGCATGCGGGAGGTAGTGCTGCAGAAGCAGCCCGGGTGGCAGCAGGCACAGCAGGTACTGTCGGGGGCACTCAGTGTCTATTCAGTTTGATAGCATACATGCAGGGATGCATGTGTGCATGCTCCAGTGGAAGCCAGGGTCTGAGGGCATGCAGGAGCAGTGCTGCATAAGCAGCCGGGGTGGCAGCAGGCGCAGCAGGTACTGTTGGTTGGTTGGATTCTCTCAATGCATATTCTGTCCCATTGGGAAATCAGGGACGGGTGTGTGCATGCTGCGGGAGGCAAGGCTGCATAAGCAGCTGGGGTGGCAGCAGGTGCAGCAGGTACTGTAGGAAGAATCACTTAGTATCTATTCAGTTCAATGCAGTGATGCATCTGCATTGGCAGCATCTGCATTGGCGTGAGGGCATGCGGAAGTTAGTGCTGCAGAAGCACCCGGGGTGGCAGCAGGCACAGCAGGTGTGCTCTTTCGTGCCTTCTGTCACGTGTGTTTTGATGTTGCGGCGTGGTGCGCTCGTGTTCTCCCAGCTTCACATTGCAATGCTTTTTTGGAACTTACACTCTGTCACTCCCTCACTCCCTCTCTCCGTCCTTCCCCCATTATCCATGGTTTGATTGAGATGGACCCATCTGCAGCTCTCAACAAACCTCAGCCCCACTCTTCTCTGTGTTTTAAACGTTTTACTCGTTCGCACGCTCATGCCCTTACTCCCTCACTCTCCTTTGAACCAGGCTTATATAGAAATGGTTCCATCTGCGGCTCTCAATGACCCTGGGCCTCACATCGCAATCCTCACTTCAAATTCAACACTCCCTCGCTCCGTCCTTCCCCCTTCCGTATATTCCAGGCTTTAATCGAAATGGATCCGTCTGCGGCTCTTAACGATTCCGAGATGGATGCTGCCATCCGAACCAAGCCTCTCAAGGCTCGGCGGCTGCCAAAGCTGGAAGGCGACGCAGAGGCTCGGATGGCCGCGGCTCTGGAGGAGGCTCGGAAGAAGGTGGACAAAATGACGCCTCCTCCACGACCCAAAGACTTTGGGGTGAGAGACTTTAACTTGAGGAGGTAGGGAATGTGAGGGGAGGGGGGAGACGAGGAAAGAGGAAGAGAGAGGGGGTCCAGGGGAAGGTGTTAGGGTGATGCTTGCACTTCAACCCAAATAAGGGAAGAAAGAGGGGCATGGGGGAAGAGGAAAGAGGATGAGAGAAGAGGTACTGGGGAAAGGATGATGCCTCTCCTCCAAACTGAATACTTTGAGGTGAGAAACTTCAGCATAAATGGTCAGAGGAGGAGAGGCAGCAGTTGCAGGCAATGGTGGTGCAGCAGCAGAGGGAGGTGGAAGAGAAAATCCTGGTCGCTGCAACCCTTTTCAACCCCTCTCCACCATCATAAACCTTTATTCTCCCTTTTCCCACCTCGCAGTCCTTCCAGCTAGACTGGGTGCAGGAGCCCGATGAGAGCAAAATGAAGGGGGAGGCGGAGAGGCAGCAGTGGCAGGCGATGCTGCAGCAGCAGCGGGAGGTGGAGGAGAAGATGCTGGACGCTGCTTGGCGGGACAGCTGGCAAAACGATAAGGTGAGGGAAGGGGAGAGGGGTAAGGGGATGGAGGGGGGTTGTTCTAGTCACGTCAAAGCATGCTGCAGCAGCAGAGGGAGGTGGAGGAGAAAATGCTGGACGCTGCTTGGCGAGAGAGCTGGCAGAATGATAAGGTGAGGGGGAGAAGAGATGGAGGAGGGACGAAAGGAATAAGGGAGAGAGGAGTAGGGGCAGGGTGAGGTGGGAATGTGTTCTAGACAGGTCAACGCATGCAGCAGCAGAGGAGGTGGAGGAGAAGATGCTGGATGCTGCCTGGCGGGACAGCTGGCAGAATGAAAGGTGAGAGGGAGAGGAGGGAGAGGGGATAACGCGTCATCATCTGGGGAGAGGGGATCCGCATCTGGGGTAAGGGATTTCATGGCGAGAGCAGCAGAGGGAGGTGGAGGAGAGGATGTTGGACGCTGCTTGGCGGGACAGCTGGCAGAACGACAAGGTGAGGGTGGGGTGGAGGGGGAGGAAAGGCGAGGGCACTAGGGCACTAGGGCACTAGAGTACATGTGTTTTGTCTCTCCTCTTACTTCGTCTCCTGCTCCCCTCCACCGTACATTCCATGTAGAGAGTCTGGAGAAGGCCATGTCATGCATGAAAGCATCAGATGAAGCAGCAAGGAGAACGAGGGCCGTCTTTTCTTACTTGTACTTCCCTCTCCCCTTCCCCTCCAACCCACGTTGCAGGTAGAGGAGAGCTTGAAGAAGGCTGTGTCATGTATGAAAGCAGCAGATGAAGCAGCAAGGAGAGTTCATGTGTCTTCACTCGCTTCTGCTGTCCTCCCCCAATCCCGCTTCCCTCGTTGCAGGTAGAGGAGAGTCGTGTCTCACATGAAAGCAGCCGATGAAGCAGCAAGGAGAGTAAAGGCTGTCTTTTCTTAATCATACTTCTTCCTCTCCCTCCTCCCCCCTCCCCCCCCCCTACCTTCATCTCCACTCGTTGCAGGTAGAAGAGAATTTAAAGAAAGCTGTGTCTCGCATGAAAGCAGCAGATGAAGCAGCGAGGAGAGCAAAGGCTGCAGAGGCGGCTGCTGCTGCAGGAGGGGGAGCAGCAGCAGGTGCAGCAGCAGCGGGAGGGGCAGCGGGTGGGAAAGGAGGGGCAGCGAGCAGTGGGGGCAAGGCGGCTGGGAAGAAGAGCAGCGGAGGGGACAAGGGCAAGGGCAAGGCAAGGTGAGGCGAGTGGAAGGGCAAGGCGAGGCGAGTGGAAGGGCAAGGTGAGGCGAATTCAATGCTGTACCTTCAGTTGCTGCACCTTCAGTCCTCCTAGTGCTTCCTCCCAGCATCCTGCTGAGTGCTGTGCTGACTTCCCTGGGCATCAGAAAAACATCCTTTATACCACATTTTCCTCCACTAGTTTCCAGTTATTGAGTCGACTCGAAAACAGTGCTGACTTTCCCAGGCATCAGGACAACACCCTTTATACCACATTTCCTCTGTTTGTTTCCAAGCGCCTCAGAAAACTTTTGAGACGTCTGAATAACATCCTTTACAACACATTTTCCTCCGCTTTCCAAGCGCCTTATGAAATGGCCGTCTTTTGAGGCGCCTCAAAAGTCGCTTTCCAAGCGCCTTATGAAATGGCCGTCTTTTGAGGCGCCTCAAAAGTCGCTTTCCAAGCGCCTTATGAAATGGCCGTCTTTTGAGGCGCCTCAAAAGTCGCTTTCCAAGCGCCTTATGAAATGGCCGTCTTTTGAGGCGCCTCAAAAGTCGCTTTCCAAGCGCCTTATGAAATGGCCGTCTTTTGAGGCGCCTCAAAAGTCGCTTTCCAAGCGCCTTATGAAATGGCCGTCTTTTGAGGCGCCTCAAAAGTCGCTTTCCAAGCGCCTTATGAAATGGCCGTCTTTTGAGGCGCCTCAAAAGTCGCTTTCCAAGCGCCTTATGAAATGGCCGTCTTTTGAGGCGCCTCAAAAGTCGCTTTCCAAGCGCCTTATGAAATGGCCGTCTTTCCTTCACCTGTCCCCGTGTGCTTGCTTGTTCGTTTGTTTGTTTGTTTTGCTTGTTTTCCTACCATACCTTTTCCCATGTGGAAACGTGCAGCGCTAACTCTTTTGATGAGTTTGAAACCACCCGACTCAATCGACCGATCCTGACCTAGTGGAGTGGGTTAGAGATTTTGCAGCTAAGTGCATTCAAGCTGTTGGTTTGCACTTGCATGCTCAGGGAATACAGTACCATATCTAGATTCACAAGATGGTGAGCTTGTCTGGGGATACCATCTTGAGTAAGCACCCTTCAAGACAGCTCAGCTCAGAGAATTGAAGACAAGGTTGTCTGTGTTGTGTTATGTGTGTTTAGGGCTTCAGGATTTGAGATTTATAAGCGTTCCTCTGCTTCTGTGCAATGTTGCCAAGTTGGAAGGATGTTTTATCTTACAACAGCACAGAGAATTCATATACAAAGATGCATTCAACTGCTGCTCCTGACTTTTATTGTACAAACTCTAAGTCCATGCATGCATATGCTACACAGACTTAGCACCACATTTACGTGTTATGATAAATACGGTACCCCCGTTCCACCCTGCTCCCTCCTTATGCTTTCCATCCCTCTTAAACCTATATCCTTCATGCCGTATGCCCCAGCCCTTCCCATCCCACTCACACACACAACCCATCCCTCCTCGGGCCTCTCCCTATATTCATCTCTACTACAGTATCCATCCCCTCACCCCCCAGACCCATGTCATAGTACCGTACCGGTATCACTTTTGAGACGTCTCAAAAAAGTACCGTACCGGTATCACTTTTGAGACGTCTCAAAAAAGTACCGTACCGGTATCACTTTTGAGACGTCTCAAAAAAGTACCGTACCGGTATCACTTTTGAGACGTCTCAAAAAAGTACCGTACCGGTATCACGTCAAATCATTTCATCCCCTAACATTTCTTTCCTGCATGTTCAAATGCATGTTCAAATGCATTTTCAAAGCATTCTCCTGTCTCGTCAGCCCTGGTAGTAAATACCCCACTCACAACCTCGCCTCTCCATCCAATATTCCCTCTCCCTTGCTCCCTACCACTGCTGCTTGCACCTGTCCTGCTGCCTTCACCCATCATCATCCTTCCTCACCCCACTCTCACATCATATCCAAACCTTTCTCTCCTCCATCTCAAAATACATTCTCAAAGCCTCTTGTCTCGTCAGCCCTGGCGAATACCCCTCTAGCACCCTCGCCCCTTGCAACCCCTCCTCTGCCCCTTCCTCCACTGCTCTCTGCACTTGCAGAGCTGCTGCCGCTGCGTCAGGCTTCAAATCCCCTTTCACCGGTGCTGCTGGCGAATCACACTCCGATAAACCAGTAGCTGGTGCATCAGGCTCCGATATATTACACGCTATCTCCACACACTTCTCACCATGCATTAAAGCCATACTCTGTACCCCCACCAACCCCCCTCCCCTCTCACTCACTCTCCTAGCCACCCTTCTAGCCGCTGCCAGGGTGGTTTGGGTGACCCGGGAGGGGGTTTGGATGGGTATGTTGTAGTTATAGACCCACGGAGCAGCGCCAACTGCAACTCTGCCCTTGAGAGGGTTTGGGTGGAGGGGACCGAAGTCGGGAGATATGGAAAGAAGCTCGGGAGGAAGTGTGGACGGAGGCTCGGGAGGAGGTGTAAAAAGAAGCTCGGGCGGAGGTACGGAAGGGGCCGGAGAGGGTGACCCAGAGGGATTCGGAGGAGGGCTGGGCTTGAAGTAACCCAGGTCGCGGCGAATGGCGTCCAGGGGGCGGTTGGTGGGGCTCGCAGCGCCGTACAGGTGCACTGGGACTGGGGGGTTGGGAAAGGGTTTGAAGAGGTGGGGAGCGGTGAACTGGAGTTGGGAGGGGTGGGGAGGGGTAGAGGGTGGTTGGGGCGAACGGGGAAATAGTGGAGTGATTTGGCAGTTTTAAGAAATTTGAGAAACCTAGCGCTCTGCGTTTCCGAAGATTCTGCGTTCTTTCGTACCTCCGTGATGCTGCCCCAGAGCTCGCCCGACGTTTCTCGCTGACGTGGCAGCGTCTGCCAGCTCAGCACGCAGCAGCGGCCGGAGTGCCACGTGGTCCACCGCGCCGATGTACGGGTGGTTGCCGACGTGGCGACTCAGATCAACGGTCTCGACCGCTCGGCCCGAAAGAAGGATCACCGTCCGCTCCAGATCCCGCGCAGGCCCCGCTAATGTCACACCCGTTCGCGCGTACGGCTCGTCTTCGAACACGTGGAGGATTCTGGTTGGTGCGCGGGAGACGGCGAGGGAGAAGGCGAGTGTTTTGAGGAGAGACGCGCAGCGCGCGAGGGAAATGTAGACGTTAGCGGCGAGCAACGGGGGCGGCATGGCTTCGATTGTATTGTAACGTTAGGTGGTCGAAATTTGTGACTGCAGAGAAGGAAGCAGGAAATGGAGAGGATATTGCCAGGCACTGTGTGAGTGACGCAGGAAAATCGATGATGTCTGATCCGATACGCGATAATGGAAGGTAGTTTATTCCCTCCATGCAGTTTTTACTACTCCGTATATGAATATATTGTTATGACTTTCTGTAACGATACCACTGTGGGCATTCAAGGGTTTCATAACTGCGGATTGCAGGGCGCCCTACAATACAGGTTCAGGAAAAAACGCATAAAGCATAGGCTGAGGAATGTTTTACAAAAAAGAATGTACTGCAATCATACATATACATCTATGCAAGACCCTAAACCATATTAAACCTTGATTAACTGTCTACCACCACCGAGACGGTTGGTGTGGATGGGTGTCATGCTCATGCTCATGGTGTGAGTGATGATGGTGGAACGGGAAATGCATGAGCCACACAAACGCCACCCACAAATGCAACACCACCAAATACACCCACAAACTCGTCCTTGCGACCACATTAGTCCGCAACACGCCGCCCGCACTCCCCAGGAAAAGCGAATCGAATCCCAAAACCATGTCCACCACTCCAACCACAATCGCATTCCCCGTCGGCCCGAGCCCAAAATCCCTCTGAGCCAGAGTCAATTTTCTCGACCGGTTCAAGATGGCTTCTCTTGAAAACCCCGGGTCTCCTTCTATTCCCTCCTCCCCTCCCTCCTCTAGAGCTCTTGCTTCCGCTGCTGACGCAGCAGCTGCCAGGTCAGCAGCAAGGGGGCCCGGGGTGCTGGCGAGGAATCGTGCAGTGACAGCTGCCGATGCGGGGTTTCGTCCGCTTCTGAGGAAGGTGGACAGGCGGTGTTTGTCCTTTTGCAGGGCGGCGGATTCTGTCTCGATGCGGAGGGAGAGGGTAGACTTTTCGATCTGTAGGGACTCTACTTGCTGCTGCTTCAGTATAAGCCGCTCTGTTAACTGCTGTAGCCTTGACAGGAGATTTGATTCCACCTCAGATTCTGTCTGTTGCTGGGCGGCTGCTGACTCAGCATCCTCCAGTTGCTGACGCAGCAGAGCAACCTGTTGGTGGGCATAGGGAGGAAAATGAGAAGGTTCCAACAAAGGGGGGTGTGAAAGTCTCTTACCGATTCACTCACTCCCTCACTCACTCACTCCCTCCCTCACTCACTCCCTCAACCACTCACACCCATCTCACCTCCTTCTTTAACTGTCGCACAGTCCCATCTAACAGCCGGACAGATGCTGCCCCACCATCACCCCCTCGCCCTGCAGTTTCTCACTCATCTCCCCATTGGCCCAATCCCTCACTCACTCTTTCATTCACCTCATTCCCTCACTCACTCCTTCGTCACACCCACCCCTCTCACCTCCTTCCTTCTCCGTCGCAGAATCGTCTCCAATAGCCCAATAGATGCTGCCCCGCCAACATCACCCCCTCGCCCTGAAGATCCCCCCACTGCCTCAATCCCTCACACTCAACTCACTCCCTCCCTCACACACTCACTCACTCCCTCACTCCCTCACTCACTCGCACCCCTCTCACCTCCTTCCTTCTCTGTCGCAAAGTCCCCTCCAACAAGCCGACAGACGTTGTCCCACCACCATCACTCCCTCCTCCAGCATCTCCTCCCAATCCTGCCCCCTCTGCTCCCTCTGCTGCCCCGTGCCTGCCTGCTGCTCCTTCTCCTGCAGCTGCTTCGCCCCCTACATTAGCAGCTGCTCCCTCCTCCTCTCTACCCTTCTCCCCCCTCCCCACCTCTGCCCCTTCCTCTGCTGCTCCCGCTCCCTCTCCCTCGGCCTCTACCCGCTGAACCCGTTGCTCCAGTTGCTCTATCTCCTCAGTCAGCCGATGCACTGTGGACCAATCAGAAGCCAGCAGCTCAACCTAGCAGGTGTTTGATGGACGCGAGGGAACAGGATGAGAAAAGGGTAGTAAAACGGGAAATCAATGGGACAGAAAGAAACAAGAAACACAAACAAACGAAATCGAAAACGAAAACAAAAACAAAGCGGTTTGGGATAGGGTTTAGGGTGTAGGAGAAAGGAAAGTTACTGGGTACAGGGGAGAGTTCTGAATTTCCTCCTGACACAGCCACCCACTCACCTTCTCTTCCAGAGCTCTCTGGGCGGCAGCCAGTGCCGCCATGCCACTTGCCGCCTCCGTCTCGTATTGCGCCTCCCGTGCCGCCCGCTCCTTACGCGTGGCAGCGTGTGATAGGCTCTCTGCTGTCACCGCCTCAAACCCTCTCCTCACACGCGCTCTCAGCTCCTCTGCCTGAATGCGTGCAAATCCAGGGAGGGGAAGGAGGAAGGGAAAGGAAAAGAGTAGGAGGAGGGGGAGAAAGACAATGACTTCAATCCTCTCCGCACATGCGCTCTCGACTCCTCCACTGGAATGCATGAGATTTAATGGAAAGTTGGGAAGAGAGGGGGGGGGGCAGTAGTTAGTCGACTCGAAACAGCATCGCGCCCTCAGTTCCTCTGTCTGACCGCTTGAACTCAACTCAGTTCCACACTGCTCCATGACCCACCTTCCATCTCTCTTGGTTTCTACCTCACCTTCTTCCTGTGCTGATCTGCTGCTTCTCTCATCCGTGCTTCTGCCTCCCTCCTCTCCCCTTCCAGCACCCCTACAAGCTGACTCCACTCCACCATTGATGCTTCTAGAACAACATAATATCGTCCTGTGTTCCTCCATAACTCACCTTCGTCCTGTGCTGCTCTGCTGCCTCCCTCATCCGTGCTTCAGCCTCCCTCCTCTCCCCTTCCAGCACCCCCACTAGTTGACTCCTCTCCACCACAGCAGCCCGAGCCACCCGCACCGCCGAACCTTCCCGCTCGCGCGCCCGAGCCTCCGCTGCAGCCTCGGCGGCTAGGCGCTCAGCTTCGGCACGTTGCGCCTTGGCCTGGGCGACAATAGAAGATTGCTCGTCCTCCTCTTCCTCTTCATCTTCCTCTTCGTCCTCATCCTCTGTATAGTCTGACCCTGAAAGGATATTATAGGAAGAGAAGATTACGATGCCACAAAAGTCTTTATTCACTGTACTACAGTCTGACTCTAGAGGAATACTGTGGGAAGGAGAAGAAAGAGACCCACCATTAGGAGAAGAAACAGTGGAAAGAGGGCGAGGGAGGAAAGGAAGAGAAGGAAGGAGAGCGGGGGGGAAAGAGGTGGGAAGGCGGGGGGTGGGGGATGGGGGGAGGACGGGGGGTAAGTTGGAGGTTGGGAGGAGGATGTGCTGGGACCTTACCTGTGCTAGTGTCTGTGGTACTGTAATCGTCATCGTTGTCAAAATCATCGTCCTCCTCCTCACTACCCTCCTCCTCCTCCTCATCATCATCCTCTTCTCCCTCACTCCCTCCCTCGCTCCCCTCGTCGTCAGCATGTTCGTCAGCTGAAATCTCACCCCCCCTCGGCCGTCCCTGCATTTGTGGACTCTCAAACAGCGCTCCCCTTTGGCTCGACCCGAACCTCTGCCCTTGGCTCGGCCCGAACCTCTGTCGGTCCGGGGTGCTGGATACCGAACCTCCGCCCTGAGGGGTGGTAAGCGCTGATTCGTTATAAGCCTTCACAGGGGTTCGTTCTTGGGGTGTATCAAAACCATCAGAGCTCTTTTCTACTTTTGCCGCTTCTGCTGCTTCCGCTGCCCCTGCTGTCCCTGCTTCTGCCCCTGCTCCTGCGTTTGCTGCTTCTTCTGCTGCTGTGACTCTTCCTGCTGCTTCTGCTCCTGATGCTGACCCTGCTGCTGCTGTCCCTGCTGCTGCTCCCTCTTCCTTCTTCTCCTCCCCGCTCCAATGCTTGTCGCCATGGCCATGCCTATGCCCATGCTCAAATCCATGAGCATGCTCATGCCTCTCCTGCTCATGCCTCTCATGCCTCTCATGCCTCTCATCCCTCCCCTCATGTCCATGCTTATGCTCATGCCTATGCACAAGCGCTTGACCATGCGCGAATGCATCATCCCTCCCGCCCTCCGCACCGTCCCTCAATTCATTGCCCGCTCCGCTTCCGCTTCCGCTTCCACTTGCGCCCGTTCCGTCCAGGCCCCCCGTCGCGCCCAACTCCCTGACTCCGCCTTTCCCCGCGCGTGCTCCCCCCGTCCCCTTTCCCCCGCCGCCGTCCCCCCCTGCTGCAGCCTCCACGGCAGCTTTCCCCCTGTCTTTTCGCTGCCGCGCGTCCCTCGGGAATTTCTCAGACCAAGTCGCGGATGCTCCCATCTGCCTTTGCGATTTCTCACCACCCGTTTCTCCTGCTGCAGATCTCTCAGGGGTAGACACCTTCCGAGAAGCTTCGCCAGCCGAGCCCACCTGACTGGATCCATCAGAACCGATTGATCCTGCGACCGGAGAGGCTTCGCCAGCTGTAACTCGCGCTTCCTTCTTTCTCCCTTTGTGGATGACTCGTTTTAAGTACGCATCCAATAGGTCGTCTGCACTAGCTGTCGCTTCGCCTGCCTTGGTCTTGGTGTCCCCCGAATTCGCGGAGCTCGTCGATTTCGCCGTCGTCTCCGTCGAAGCATCCGTCAGATGCTCCGTTAACTTTTCCGTTTCGTTGACAGGGCTCGGTTGGCAAGCTGCCCCAGATGGCACTGACGACGAGTCTCCGCTTCGCGATGAGTCGTCCTTTCGCGATGCGTCGCCTACCCCGTCGCCTGTCATGACTAGAGCGATGCTCTGCGACTGCGACAATACTACTGCAAGCCTACACGAACGCGTAGGACAGGAGAATGACGTCACAATAAGTCGACGGTAACAGCTGTGATCGACGAGCTTTTGCTATCCCGAATCTAAAAATACTCCCATCAGTCTGGCTACTAGCGCGTATACTGCTGCTCTAGGCAAGGTAGCAAAATCTGTTCTGCAAGAAATGTCGCATGAAACACAATAAATCGTCGAAAAGTGTCGACTGTTGTTCGGCGATTTACCTACCCTGTCAACGTTTCGTTGGGCTCTCACCGTTGGTCGTACAAATCTGACACACGCCTCGCCTAAAGGTTTTACCTCGCTTTGTTGGGATGGCTGCGGGATTGTGTAGTAAATTATAATCTTGATTCTTTGTCTACGATATGTTTACAGTCTACGATTGCAACTTCTCTGTAACCTTTCGTCACGTTCTGCAACGTGATTGGTTGTCTCTGCATGTTGCAAATACCTTCGGTGCCTCACACGTGTTGCCGAAAAAGGCATTCCAGCCGTCCCTATTGTCAAATCCAGGATCGCAATTCTCGCTCTCAACCATCCGTTTTCCACTGTCGAGCCGCACCCGTTTGCTTTCTCTAACGGCCACACCTTAGTGCCTCCTGTCACCAAGTTCCGAAATTTGCGCTACTCACTTGCATGATGCGACTGGAACTTTCCTCCCATACTTCCCAGAAGGCTCTAGTTTTCAGCAGCCCAACCTCTCATCTTCTCTCGTCTTCTTTCTTTTGCGAAGTGCACTTACAACTCTAGTTTGTGCACTTCCACAGCAGTCGGTCGGTAAGGCGCCCTCTTTAATCTTTCATTCGTGTCGCGCTTGTCTTACATAGAGTTTGCCACGTGTCAGTTTTGCACGCGGGTGTCGCCATGGCTCCTGGAGACCTGACCAATCGCGATGCAGATCCCTCCTTACCGGCTGTCGCAGCCGAGTCGCGCGGTAGTGTCAAAACAGTGACCGTTGACGAGACTCACGTGAACGAGGGCCTTCGCCTTAGGAAACTGCGACTTGGCAAAGACGACCAGAAACGGCAAACTCTTCACGTGCCAAAAGCGCACGTGCGCTCCGCGGACTCCGCGAGTCCATCCTCGTTGCAAGCAACTCCGGAACCGGTGTCGCCGGTCGGCCGACTGTTTCTGGACGACGACTTCTACACGACGATTCTATGCGTGTTGGAGTTTAAGAACGAAATGGAGATTAAAGAGCTAAGGGACATCCTGCAGCACACGCTGCTGCAACACCCGCGCTTCCACAGCCGCCTGGTGGGTGTTAAGATGCATAGTTAAGCATTTCGGCGCCTGGTGGGTGTTAAGATGCATAGTTAAGCATTTCGGCGGCTGGTGGGTGTTAAGATGCTTAGTTAAGCATTTCGGCGGCTGGTGGGGAATATCAAGCCGTCCTTTTCGAATACCATAGTTGCATGGTGCTTTTATATCATCTCCTCATCCTTTCCCTCCCTCTCCCTTTCCCCACCTCCCGCTTCCCCCTTTTCCAACTTCACCTCCCTCACTCGTCCTCATCCTCTTACCCTCCCAACTCCACCCAATTCCTCCCCACCCCTCTCGACCGCACCACATCGCTCCTTGTTCACCCTTAATCTCATCCCTCTCTGCTCCCACAGGTCTCTAGCCCTGGTGGCGTGCCAGCGTGGGTGCTTATGGATGCTGCTGACGTGGATCTAGAGTACCATGTCGTGGAAGAGGAAGCTTCTGACGTGGATTCGTCACAGCGCCACGTGGCAGGGGATGAGGGAGGCGGAGGAGGAGGAAAAGGAGGTGAAGAAGAGAGGGGAGGGGGAGGGGAAGGCGAGGGAGCATTGGAATCTCAAGTCGTGCGATTGCAGTCACTGCCTCCTTTTGATCCCAACCGTCCGCTCTGGCAGGTGGGGGTCCTGGACCGTTAGTGGTAGCTCTGTAACACTCTGACAGATTTGTCAGTTTGTGCAGCATGTTGGCTAGTATGCTTTGTCTGTTTAGTCGACCCAGGAGCCCTTTGTGTTGGGGTCTCAAAATCTCGGCCGAGCTGGCATTTGAAAGCATGTTCTTTCACTTGAGTCTGGTCTCCTCGAATGCCCTGTGACTGCTCGTTGGTTTGATCTCATTTTGACTCTCGTTGACTCTTGTTGACTGCCTTGACTACCTTGACTGCCTGGCACCGCCCCTTGCCTTTCCGCATCAGGTGCATCTCATTCACCTGCCAGCTGGCACCCGTCCAAGCGAGCCACGTCAGCGCCACTCTGTAGCCGTATTCAGGTGACTTGTCATCATCGGGTGAAAGTTCAGGTGGATATTTTCAGGTAAACGCTCCAGTAGATCCTCAGGTAAGGCGTCAGGTGAAGGTCAGATGTGAATGCAATGCTGCTTTACTTGTATGTTTGCCTTACTTTCTATACATCTAACTCCCCTTGTGCTACGCTGTCATTCTTACATAAGCAGAACACAAGTGATTTGCGAGTCAACTCAAAGCATGTCTTATGTGCCGCTCTCTCATGTCACTCCTGTCTTGCCCACACCCCTTCCCCCCACCCTCCCTTTTGTGTCCCTCTCTTCATCTCCTTACCCCACCACCTCCAGGATTCACCAAGCGCTGGGTGACGAAATCTATCTCATCTCTTGCTGCTCAGTGCTACCAAAACCGTCTCCTGTTACTCACGCCTCTCACTCATCTACTACTAACACTCTCTCCTCTTCCCACCACCACCAGGATTCACCATGCCTTGGGTGACGGAATCTCGCTCATGTCTCTCCTGCTAGCTGCCACCCGCCGAACTGACAACCCGGACCTCCTTCCGAGCTTACCAGGCAGCTTGGGTGCATCCACTAGGCAAAAGACCTCCTCCTCCTCCGAGCCACCCTTGAGCAGCAGCGATGGTAGCAGCAGTGGTACTAACAGAAGCAGTATCAGTGAGGGGGGAAGCAGCAAGGGAAAAGAGGCAGCGGCAGAGCTTTCCAGGAAAAAGGGGTCGTTCCGAAGGTTGTTGACGCTCTTGTGGGTTGCGCTTGTGCGTGCGGTGCTTGCGGTGTGGCGGATGGTGCGAGTGACAGTCAACACGACCATGCAGGTGCGTGGCACTTCACCCAGCAATAAGCTAGTTTTGAGACGTCTCGTTTTGAGACGTTTAGTTTTGAGACGTCTCAAAATTAACCCAGCAATAAGCTTCGTCCAAAAGGTTATTGGAGCTCCAGTGGGTTGCGTTTGTGCGTGTGGTGGTGGCGGTGTGGCGGATGGTGCGAGTGACAGTCAACACAACACTGCAGGTGCGTGGCAGGCAAGGCAACACGGCAAGTAGGTGCATGAATGCAGTCACAAGTGCCTTGCTGTAACTGCCCTAAAGTAGAGCCGACTCATCAGCTGCAACGGCTGTGCGTTGCTCACAAGTGGTAACACAGCCGATGCAGCGCCTCACTCACCCCCCCCCCCCTGCATTCCCTTGTGCTGCCTGCATGCATTCATAACCTCCCCTTCAGATTCTCGAGTACCTGGCAGTGCTTCTGTGGGTTGCTGATACCCCAACGCCCATCAAAGGAGGGCCCCACCTGCACTGCCACGCCCTGCCACGCTGCTTCGCGGTTTCCCCTGAAATGAGCCTTGAAGACGTGTCAACCATTCGCAAGGCAGTGAAAGGCACGGTGAGATAAAAACTGGGTGATTTGATTGAATTCGATTTCATATGTGAGGCAAGTTGCGCCCCCCACCTGCACTGCCACGCCCCACCGCGCTGCTTTGCCGTGTCCGCTGAGATTAACAATACACCATTCGTGGGGGACTAAGTGGTGCTTGTCTCTTGTCAGTGTTTTAGACGCTTAAAGAACCCCCCCCTTCCACCTCCCTCCCCCACCCCACCCTCCCACTTCAGACGGTCAATGACGTCATGCTGACTGTGATCTCTGGTGGAATTGAGCGGTACCTTGTTCTTCTCGGCATTACAAATGGAGGTACGCTGCTTTAGAAATCCACCAAGACCGCAGTTTGAGACATTAGTAACGAAGACTGTCTTTCTTGCAAAGTAGCCCATGCTGTGCTACTTTCCCCAAGTATTATTCACAGAGCCCTTTCTATCCCCTCCCATGTCTCTCCCCTTTCCTCCTGCATTGACATGTTTCAACCCCCCCCTCCCATCACTGTCTATCCTTGCTCAATTCTTCTTTAACAAACTCAATGCTCTGGCAGCTTCGATCGTTCGCGGCGCATCAAAAGTCGGTTCCCATCCCATCCCACAGTCTCTCCTTTCTCATTTTTCCCTGATCTCCTCTCAGGGTCCCCATTGCCTCACCGGCTGCGGGTCAGCGCACTGGCACTCTTCAACCTGCGACCAGCACCAGGGCTCCAGGTACGGGCTGGTTGCTGCTGGTACGAAGTGGTATCATGCGGTACCACGTGGTGCAATGAGCACAAAGCGAGTCAGTGCACTAGCACTCTTCAACCTGCGACCATTCGGTCTGATGATCTCTTTTGAGGCGCCTTAAAAAACGGCTTTTGAAGCGCTCTAAAAGACGACCAGCACCAGGCCTGCAGGTAGGGTGTGGCTTTTGTTACGACCCATACGGTATGATGATCTCTGCCTAGCATATCTGTTGAGTTCACAGATACGCCACAGGAGGATTGGCACCAGAGCATCAAGGGATGGCACGTGGCATGCCTTGGCACACCATGTGCCACAGTGGCGTGTGAGTGCCTCAGCGTTTGTCAACTCGCGTTTATCCTCACCCACCCCCCACTCTGACCCATCTCACCCTACTCACCCACCCGCCCACCGAGAGCGGAGTGAGCTGATGGCAGGGCAGAGGCCGCAGGCGCGGTGGAGCAAGCAGACCACCTTGGAATTATCCTGCTGCCACTTGTTCGCCCTCATGCCTTGATGAATATGATACATCCCCACCCCACCCTTCAAACCACCCATTGGTGAGGAGTTGAGTGGGCTGATGGCGGGGCAGAGGTTGCAGGCACGGTGTGGCAGCCAGACCACCTTGGGAATATCCTGCTGCTTCCGTCCTAACCCGCGCTTCATCCTGACTCACCCCCTACTCACCCGTCCGTCAGGAACTGAGGGAGCTGATGGCGGGGCAGAGGTCGCAAGCATGGTGGGGCAACCACCTTGGGAACATCCTACTGCCACTGCCCATCTATAGCAGAGCGCAGGGAAGGAGCTATCGGCCAAGCCAGCAAAGTGACTCTGAAGCGAGGAACGGCGAAACGCCACGTCAGCAAAGTGATTTAGGCGACAAAATCTGCAGGGGGGGGGAGGAGGAGGGGGAGGGGAGAGTGGGGAAAGGGGAGGAGGAGCAGGAGGGGAGAGTGCGAAGAGTGGAGGAGGTGGAGAGGCTGGGGGCAATGAGGGCGTTGTGTGCTTCGAGGAAAGACTCCCTGATGGCTCACTGGACGTACCTGAATGGGCGCCTGCTCATGCCGCTCGTGGGATGCAAGGTGAGAAAGAGAGGGTTCTAGTCTCGGTGTTCGTGGTTGTGCTCGTGCGTTGAGGGGCAGCACTAGCAGCGCTGTGTGCTTCCAGAAAGGACTCCCTGATGGCCCACGGGACGTACCTGAATGGGCGCCTGCTCATGCCGCTCGTGGGATGCAAGGTGAGTGGCGAGATGGGATGAGGTGAGGTGAAGTGAGGTGACGTGAGGTGCAAGGTGAGAAGGAGAGGGTATTAGGCTCAGTGCTGGTTCTCTTGGTGGGCACCAGCAGTGCCGTGTGCTTCAAGGAAGGAAAGCCTGATGGCCCACTGGACATACCTGAACGGACGCATGCTCATGCCGCTCGTGGGGTGCAAGGCGAGTGGTGTGGTGTGTTGGAGGTATGTTGAGGTATGGTGAGGTATGGTGAGGTATGGTGAGGTATGGTGAGGTATGGTGAGGTATGGTGAGGTATGGTGAGGTATGGTGAGGTATGTTGAGGTATGGTGAGGTATGGTGAGGTATGGTGAGGTATGGTGAGGTATGGTGAGGTATGGTGAGGTATGGTGAGGTATGGTGAGGTATGGTGAGGTATGGTGAGGTATGGTGAGGTATGGTGAGGTATGGTGAGGTATGGTGAGGTGTGTTGAGGTATGGTGAGGTGTGTTGAGGTATGGTGAGGTGTGTTGAGGTATGGTGAGGTGTGTTGAGGTATGGTGAGGTGTGTTGAGGTATGGTGAGGTGTGTTGAGGTATGGTGAGGTGTTGAGGTATGGTGAGGTGTGTTGAGGTATGGTGAGGTGTGTTGAGGTATGGTGAGGTGTGTTGAGGTATGGTGAGGTGTGTTGAGGTATGGTGAGGTGTGTTGAGGTCTGGTGAGGTGTGTTGAGGTATGGTGAGGTGTGTTGAGGTATGGTGAGGTGTGTTGAGGTATGGTGAGGTGTGTTGAGGTCTGGTGAGGTGTGTTGAGGTATGGTGAGGTGTGTTGAGGTCTGGTGAGGTGTGTTGAGGTATGGTGAGGTGTGTTGAGGTATGGTGAGGTGTGTTGAGGTATGGTGAGGTGTGTTGAGGTATGGTGAGGTGTGTTGAGGTATGGTGAGGTGTGTTGAGGTATGGTGAGGTGTGTTGAGGTATGGTGAGGTGTGTTGAGGTATGGTGAGGTGTGTTGAGGTATGGTATGGTGAGGTGTGTTGAGGTATGGTGAGGTGTGTTGAGGTATGGTGAGGTGTGTTGAGGTATGGTGAGGTGTGTTGAGGTATGGTGAGGTGTGTTGAGGTATGGTGAGGTGTGTTGAGGTATGGTGAGGTGTGTTGAGGTATGGTGAGGTGTGTTGAGGTATGGTGAGGTGTGTTGAGGTATGGTGAGGTGTGTTGAGGTATGGTGAGGTGTGTTGAGGTATGGTGAGGTGTGTTGAGGTATGGTGAGGTGTGTTGAGGTATGGTGAGGTGTGTTGAGGTATGGTGAGGTGTGTTGAGGTATGGTGAGGTGTGTTGAGGTATGGTGAGGTGTGTTGAGGTATGGTGAGGTGTGTTGAGGTATGGTGAGGTGTGTTGAGGTATGGTGAGGTGTGTTGAGGTATGGTGAGGTGTGTTGAGGTATGGTGAGGTGTGTTGAGGTATGGTATGGTGAGGTGTGTTGAGGTATGGTGAGGTGTGTTGAGGTATGGTGAGGTGTGTTGAGGTATGGTGAGGTGTGTTGAGGTATGGTGAGGTGTGTTGAGGTATGGTGAGGTGTGTTGAGGTATGGTGAGGTGTGTTGAGGTATGGTGAGGTGTGTTGAGGTATGGTGAGGTGTGTTGAGGTATGGTGAGGTGTGTTGAGGTATGGTGAGGTGTGTTGAGGTATGGTGAGGTGTGTTGAGGTATGGTGAGGTGTGTTGAGGTATGGTGAGGTGTGTTGAGGTATGGTGAGGTGTGTTGAGGTATGGTGAGGTGTGTTGAGGTATGGTGAGGTGTGTTGAGGTATGGTGAGGTGTGTTGAGGTATGGTGAGGTGTGTTGAGGTATGGTGAGGTGTGTTGAGGTATGGTGAGGTGTGTTGAGGTATGGTGAGGTGTGTTGAGGTATGGTGAGGTGTGTTGAGGTATGGTGAGGTGTGTTGAGGTATGGTGAGGTGTGTTGAGGTATGGTGAGGTGTGTTGAGGTATGGTGAGGTGTGTTGAGGTATGGTGAGGTGTGTTGAGGTATGGTGAGGTGTGTTGAGGTATGGTGAGGTGTGTTGAGGTATGGTGAGGTGTGTTGAGGTATGGTGAGGTGTGTTGAGGTATGGTGAGGTGTGTTGAGGTATGGTGAGGTGTGTTGAGGTATGGTGAGGTGTGTTGAGGTATGGTGAGGTGTGTTGAGGTATGGTGAGGTGTGTTGAGGTATGGTGAGGTGTGTTGAGGTATGGTGAGGTGTGTTGAGGTATGGTGAGGTGTGTTGAGGTATGGTGAGGTGTGTTGAGGTATGGTGAGGTGTGTTGAGGTATGGTGAGGTGTGTTGAGGTATGGTGAGGTGTGTTGAGGTATGGTGAGGTGTGTTGAGGTATGGTGAGGTGTGTTGAGGTATGGTGAGGTGTGTTGAGGTATGGTGAGGTGTGTTGAGGTATGGTGAGGTGTGTTGAGGTATGGTGAGGTGTGTTGAGGTATGGTGAGGTGTGTTGAGGTATGGTGAGGTGTGTTGAGGTATGGTGAGGTGTGTTGAGGTATGGTGAGGTGTGTTGAGGTATGGTGAGGTGTGTTGAGGTATGGTGAGGTGTGTTGAGGTATGGTGAGGTGTGTTGAGGTATGGTGAGGTGTGTTGAGGTATGGTGAGGTATGGTGAGGTATGGTGAGGTGTGGTGAGGTATGGTGAGGTGTGTTGAGGTATGGTGAGGTGTGTTGAGGTATGGTGAGGTGTGTTGAGGTATGGTGAGGTGTGTTGAGGTATGGTGAGGTGTGTTGAGGTCTGGTGAGGTGTGTTGAGGTATGGTGAGGTGTGTTGAGGTATGGTGAGGTGTGTTGAGGTATGGTGAGGTGTGTTGAGGTATGGTGAGGTGTGTTGAGGTATGGTGAGGTGTGTTGAGGTATGGTGAGGTGTGTTGAGGTATGGTGAGGTGTGTTGAGGTATGGTGAGGTGTGTTGAGGTATGGTGAGGTGTGTTGAGGTATGGTGAGGTGTGTTGAGGTATGGTGAGGTGTGTTGAGGTATGGTGAGGTGTGTTGAGGTATGGTGAGGTGTGTTGAGGTATGGTGAGGTGTGTTGAGGTATGGTGAGGTGTGTTGAGGTATGGTGAGGTGTGTTGAGGTATGGTGAGGTGTGTTGAGGTATGGTGAGGTGTGTTGAGGTATGGTGAGGTGTGTTGAGGTATGGTGAGGTGTGTTGAGGTATGGTGAGGTGTGTTGAGGTATGGTGAGGTGTGTTGAGGTATGGTGAGGTGTGTTGAGGTATGGTGAGGTGTGTTGAGGTATGGTGAGGTGTGTTGAGGTATGGTGAGGTGTGTTGAGGTATGGTGAGGTGTGTTGAGGTATGGTGAGGTGTGTTGAGGTATGGTGAGGTGTGTTGAGGTATGGTGAGGTGTGTTGAGGTATGGTGAGGTGTGTTGAGGTATGGTGAGGTGTGTTGAGGTATGGTGAGGTGTGTTGAGGTATGGTGAGGTGTGTTGAGGTATGGTGAGGTGTGTTGAGGTATGGTGAGGTGTGTTGAGGTATGGTGAGGTGTGTTGAGGTATGGTGAGGTGTGTTGAGGTATGGTGAGGTGTGTTGAGGTATGGTGAGGTGTGTTGAGGTATGGTGAGGTGTGTTGAGGTATGGTGAGGTGTGTTGAGGTATGGTGAGGTGTGTTGAGGTATGGTGAGGTGTGTTGAGGTATGGTGAGGTGTGTTGAGGTATGGTGAGGTGTGTTGAGGTATGGTGAGGTGTGTTGAGGTATGGTGAGGTGTGTTGAGGTATGGTGAGGTGTGTTGAGGTATGGTGAGGTGTGTTGAGGTATGGTGAGGTGTGTTGAGGTATGGTGAGGTGTGTTGAGGTATGGTGAGGTGTGTTGAGGTATGGTGAGGTGTGTTGAGGTATGGTGAGGTGTGTTGAGGTATGGTGAGGTGTGTTGAGGTATGGTGAGGTGTGTTGAGGTATGGTGAGGTGTGTTGAGGTATGGTGAGGTGTGTTGAGGTATGGTGAGGTGTGTTGAGGTCTGGTGAGGTGTGTTGAGGTCTGGTGAGGTGTGTTGAGGTATGGTGAGGTGTGTTGAGGTATGGTGAGGTGTGTTGAGGTATGGTGAGGTGTGTTGAGGTATGGTGAGGTGTGTTGAGGTATGGTGAGGTGTGTTGAGGTATGGTGAGGTGTGTTGAGGTATGGTGAGGTGTGTTGAGGTATGGTGAGGTGTGTTGAGGTATGGTGAGGTGTGTTGAGGTATGGTGAGGTGTGTTGAGGTATGGTGAGGTGTGTTGAGGTATGGTGAGGTGTGTTGAGGTATGGTGAGGTGTGTTGAGGTATGGTGAGGTGTGTTGAGGTATGGTGAGGTGTGTTGAGGTATGGTGAGGTGTGTTGAGGTATGGTGAGGTGTGTTGAGGTATGGTGAGGTGTGTTGAGGTATGGTGAGGTGTGTTGAGGTATGGTGAGGTGTGTTGAGGTATGGTGAGGTGTGTTGAGGTATGGTGAGGTGTGTTGAGGTATGGTGAGGTGTGTTGAGGTATGGTGAGGTGTGTTGAGGTATGGTGAGGTGTGTTGAGGTATGGTGAGGTGTGTTGAGGTATGGTGAGGTGTGTTGAGGTATGGTGAGGTGTGTTGAGGTCTGGTGAGGTGTGTTGAGGTCTGGTGAGGTGTGTTGAGGTATGGTGAGGTGTGTTGAGGTATGGTGAGGTGTGTTGAGGTATGGTGAGGTGTGTTGAGGTATGGTGAGGTGTGTTGAGGTATGGTGAGGTGTGTTGAGGTATGGTGAGGTGTGTTGAGGTATGGTGAGGTGTGTTGAGGTATGGTGAGGTGTGTTGAGGTATGGTGAGGTGTGTTGAGGTATGGTGAGGTGTGTTGAGGTATGGTGAGGTGTGTTGAGGTATGGTGAGGTGTGTTGAGGTATGGTGAGGTGTGTTGAGGTATGGTGAGGTGTGTTGAGGTATGGTGAGGTGTGTTGAGGTATGGTGAGGTGTGTTGAGGTATGGTGAGGTGTGTTGAGGTATGGTGAGGTGTGTTGAGGTATGGTGAGGTGTGTTGAGGTATGGTGAGGTGTGTTGAGGTATGGTGAGGTGTGTTGAGGTATGGTGAGGTGTGTTGAGGTATGGTGAGGTGTGTTGAGGTATGGTGAGGTGTGTTGAGGTATGGTGAGGTGTGTTGAGGTATGGTGAGGTGTGTTGAGGTATGGTGAGGTGTGTTGAGGTATGGTGAGGTGTGTTGAGGTATGGTGAGGTGTGTTGAGGTATGGTGAGGTGTGTTGAGGTATGGTGAGGTGTGTTGAGGTCTGGTGAGGTGTGTTGAGGTATGGTGAGGTGTGTTGAGGTATGGTGAGGTGTGTTGAGGTATGGTGAGGTGTGTTGAGGTATGGTGAGGTGTGTTGAGGTATGGTGAGGTGTGTTGAGGTATGGTGAGGTGTGTTGAGGTATGGTGAGGTGTGTTGAGGTATGGTGAGGTGTGTTGAGGTCTATGCTGCTGTTCCCCGTTCCCTTCAAGGCTGGGGGCAGTGAGGATGGTGAGGGACTCTCTGTGTTGTATGGATGAAGGAAGGACTCGCTGATGGCCCACTCGACGTACCTCAATGGCCGCCGGCTCACGCCGCTGGTGGGGTGCAAGGTGAGGAGGAGAGGGTATCAGGCTCAGTGCTGGTTCTCCTGGTGGGCACTAGCAGTGCTCTGTGCTTCCAGGAAGGAAGGAGTCCCTGATGGCCCATTGGACGTACCTCAATGGCCGCCTGCTCATGCCGCTCGTGGGGTGCAAGGTGCGATGCGAGATGGGGTGAGGTGCGGTGAAGTGAGGTGAGGTGAGTTGCGGTTAGACGGAGAGGGAAATAGTCTCAGTGCTCGTGCTCCTGGTGGGCACAAACAGTGCTGTGTGCTTCGAGGAAGGACTCCCTGATGGCTCACTGGACGTACCTCAATGGGCGCCTGCTCATGCCGCTCGTGGGGTGCAAGGTGGGGTGTGAGGGTATTAGGCGCAGTGCTGGTTCTCTTGGTGGGCTGGGCACTAGCACTGCTGTGTGCTTCCATTAAGGACTTCTTGATGGCTCACCAGACGTACCTGAACGGGCGCGCCTGCTCATGCCACTCTTGGGGTGTAAGGTGAGCTGCGTGATAGGTTGAGTTGAGGTGATGTGGATGAGGTGGAGATGAGTCGAGCACTGATAAGAGTGGCTGGAGGCAGTGAGGGCGCTGTGTGCTTCCACGAGGGACTCTCTGTGTTGTGTGGTGGAAGGAAGGGCTCGGAGATGGCTCACTGGATGTACCTGAATGGGCGCCTGCTCATGCCTTGTTCCTTTGCTCCCTTGCTCCTTTGCTCCCTTGCTCCTTTGCTCCCTTGTTCCTTTACCCGCCCTTCCTGCTGTGCTCACATCTCCTCCCACCAGCCAGTGGCAGTGCTCACGCGGCGCAGCTTGGATGAAACCACCCTCTCACTCTCCAACGTGCTGGGGCCATACTCTGCTTATCCTTTTCTTTCTCCCTTGCCTGGCTTTCCTACCCTGAACCCTCTTTTCCTTCCCACCGCTACCCATTGCTCCCTTTCGCAGCCAGTGGCAGTGCTCACGCGGCGCAGCTTGGATCAAACCACCCTCTCGCTCTCCAGTGTGGTGGGGTCACACTCTTTTGATTCCTCCCGTGTTCCCGTCCCTGCCTTTTTGTCCTTTCTCCCCTTCTCAGCCAATAGCAGCGCTCACGCGTCGCAGCTTGGATCAGACCACCCTCTCGCTCTCCAGCGTGGTGAAGCCACACTGTCTTGACTCCTCCTTGCTCCCTTGCCTTCCCGTTCTGTGCTCTCATCAACCACCAGCCAGTGGCAGCGCTCACGCGTCACAGCTTGGATCAAACCACCCTCTCGCTCTCCAACGTGGTGGGGCCTCTAGAAGAGGTGGCACTGCACGGCCACCCCATCGCTGCCATCATTCCCTCGGTCGTTGGCAGCAACCACGTGAGTCTTGGCCCCTCCCTTCACCCTCATCCCAATTCTGAGTCATTCTTTAGTCGCTGAGGTTAAAGTCGCCTTTAGAAGAGGTGGCACTGCACGGCCACCCCATTGCTGCCAACATTCCTTCGGTCTACGGCAGTAACCATGTGAGTGTAGCTTTCCTTCTACCGTATCTTATGCATACATCAGAGTGAATGCATAGTTGAGAACTAAACCCTAGTTATTGGACAAAACATTGTAATACCGTATGATTATTTCCTTGCCATGACATCATCATGCATCCTGAACCTGTTTTTGCAATGTATCCTCGTTTTTGTCATCCCCACCAGGCGCTCACATGTCACATTCAGACATACAAGGGAGCTGCTCGCATAGTGGTATCTGCAGTAAAGCAGCATGTTCCAAACCCCCATATGCTCTGCCGGTGCTTCTTAGAGGCCTTTCGTCAACTTAATGAAGAGGTGAAGACGATTGTCTAGCTTGACTGTTCAACACCCTCTCGCATGTTGCTTTCAGACATACGGTACCATGCCTTGTACAGAGCATAGCAGCCTGTATTGTGGTGCTTGCTGTGAAGCAGCACATGCCAAACCCCCACCTGTGCTGCCGATACTTCTTAGAGGTGTTTCGCCAACTGAAAGAAGAGACCGAGGCGATGGTCTAGCTTGGCTGTTCAACACATGTTCACGTGCACATACCTACACTCAGACATACCTAGTGCTGAAATCAACAGGCCGTTCGCAGTCCGAGCGATAAAGTATGGGTGATGAAGGTCGTACCGTTGCCGTCGGATCCGAAAGAGCGAGAAGAGTGCGTTCGAGAAGGGTCGACCATGATGAAGCTCGGTCACCCCTGCATTGTCGGTTGCAAGGTACTTACCGTCTAAACTCGCCGTCTACTGAGAGCGTACTAGTTCTTCTTATCTCAGACCCGAGGCCGGTAAATTCAGCAGAATCTGAACGTCTGACCGACGTACGTCGTCATTTCTCCAGCTGCTGATAAGTTTCTGATTTCAGCATAGCATACCAATCTGAGGGCCTGGTACAAAGCTAGTCTCGAGTCTTTTTATTACCAACTCCTGCAAAAACCTTACACAGAAGAGCACAAATTTATCGCCCTCTACCAGCAGCTGCGTCTAAAAAGAAACGACGGTACAAAATCCTAGGCGGGTTTGGCGCTCCAGCAGCCACGGCATTCGGGGTGTGCTTGCTTGTGACTGCTACAGAATCTCCTGCTGCAGCCGCGGCTACTCCGGCTCCGGCAATTAGGTGTGCTAAGAGAAAGCCCTAGCGCGACAACTTGAGCCAGGAGTTGACTTGCGTGAAGGTGTTGGCGTCGTATCCGCTGACGCTCGTGATGATCCCAGGGTCCACCCAGTCCGCGCGGGACGACGCCGCGCCCGGCCCCTTGCTGCCCGCCTCCGCCAGAAACATGCAGCTGCCCTCGTTCCACGACAGCCACCCGTCCTTCTCGATCACCTGAGGGAGGGATGGATGGGGATGGGAGATGGAGATGAGGTGAGGAGGTGGGAAGGAGGAAACATGCAGCTGCCTTAGTTCCACGACAGTCAGGCACTTGTTCGAATGGTTTGTCAAGTCAGGGGAGCGACGGAAACGGAAACCGCGCAGGCAGAAACGGGAACCGAAGGAAACGTACAGCGGGGAGAAAGGCGTTGATGAAAACCGTGAAGGCGCATTTCTTCCACGGACGGCCCAGATACACCTTGGTCGTGCCTTTGTCCGCCGAGACAACAGCGTCGCGAATCACAATCCCCGTCGGGGTGTCCTTGGCCCGTCCCGACGCCGTTAGGGTCCCGAAAGAGGGGCTCGGGTGAAGCTGAATCTTCGGCGCGTCGATAACAACCGCCGCGTCGCCGAAAATGAAATCCTGCGAGCCGCCAATGTAACAATTCTTGTAGTACTGCCGGCCCGCGTCCACGTACAATGTATCTTGCGATCCGTCGAACGCGCAGTTGAAAAGAGCTGTTTGGTCGCCGGTGGCGCGAAACGCAACTGCTTGGTGATTCTGGGGCCCTGCCGTGTTCACGAACTTTATCCCGAAGGCGACGAACCTGTTGTGTGGTTACCAGGTGGGTGGGTATACGACGAGGCGACGCGGGAAGAGAAGCGAGGGAAGCTGTGCGTGAGAACAGAAACGAATGACAGAAAAAGGGCAAAGAGAAATGGGCAGAAAAGGGGAGGGAGGTAAGGACAGAAAGGGCGGCATTACCTGTCGCTATCCACCCCAACTGTAGCCGACTCGAAGGTCCCGGATCCGCTGCCGTAACTCGCGTCGCCCGTGATGATCGTCTTACCCGCGCCCGCACCAATCAAAACGATGTCCGTCGTCGAGATGACAACCTGCTCCTTGTACGTTCCCGCGGGAATGTAAATCACGAATCGCTTGCCGCCGGGAGCGGCGTCAACAGCGTCTTGGATCGACTTGTATCCGGATCCGACGGTCGCGCTGGCCGCGAGAGACGCGCTGACGACCATCGGACCCTCGTTCGGTGACGCCTTCTTCTTGCTGCTCTTGCTACTCTTGCTACTCTTGCTGCTTTTGCTCTTGCTATCCTTGTTGTCGTTATGGTCGTGGTGGTGGTGGTGGAGAAGACGCCTCCTCGAGATAGAACCGCCCTCCGAATACTCCCCGCTCGCAGCGGCGAATTCGGCGTTCAGCCTCATTTGAAGCTCCTGCAGTTGCTCGTACAAGCCCGCCTCAAGCCAATCCATCGCGCCGTTTCCCGCACTGCTGGATCGGACGGCCATGCGGCGTCCGCGCACGGGCGCCACATCCTCCTCCGTTGATGCGACGCTGTCAGCGGCGGCTGCGGCGGCTTTCGCGGCAGCGTTGGTGATGGATAAGAGGGCGTCAAGGGTGCTGCCCGCTTTCTTAGCCGTATACTGCGGAGATGGGGACGGGGATTCAGAAAGGAATATAATTGGGAAGTTGTTGTTGAGAACTTGTTTCATAAAAACAAAAACCCAGGTGAGAAAGCATCGGTGCAAAAAAAAGCACGTGCGAACGTTGCATCCGAAAGCTTTTTTATTGAAATAGTTGTAACCAACCTCGAGATGTACGTAGGCGGGGAAGCCTTGCGCGGCGGGCGAGAAAGTCTGGAAGCCATCGACGCAATTGTCAATTTGCGTATCGGCGGCCGCCAGCCAGTACGGCACGTCGAGCTGATTCGTGCCCGCCTCCACCGCATCCCCCGCCTGCCCCAGGTAGCGCAGCGCGATGGTGGCCTGGCGCGCGCAACTCCTCGCCATGACATTCGTGAAATGATCTTCCCGCATGTTGTTTGTCTTAATCTCGTCGGCCGCCGCGATTAGCGCAGTGACTTGCGCTTGCACCGCTGCGATCATGGCTGAGGTCACTTGCTCCTGGGTCTGCGGCACGACGCCTAGGGATCGCCGCGCCACGCGGAATTCTGCCGCGCAGTGGGTTCCGTTGGATGAAGCAATGCATGCTTCGGGGTGGGAGAGGACGAAATAGTTGTCAGCCATCTCGCAGCAGGAGATGACGGCCAGAGCGAGGCCCAGTCCAGCAAAAGTCCAGATTGCAGTGCGTTTCACCCAAGCGATTTCCATCTTCGCGAAAAGAAAGAGCTCACAAAGAAGAGTGCGGGAGAAAACTCGCAGGGTTTAGGAGAGGTAAGAAATGTCGTGACTAGATAGGCCGCCTCAGCAGCACTGGACTGATGAAAAGGTGGAATTGAGACGTATGCACAACTGATGGCTGATGGTAGTTCAACTGATAACTTATGGTATTTGGAAACGCGTATTTATGTGAGTTTCTGTTGCGAAACTGTGAGTGAGGTAGGGCGTAGGGCGCGCGAGTGCTTTAGCGAGGGCCAATCTGGTAGGAGTCGCTGCGGGGAGGGGCAGCCAACTTAACGCGGCTCGATTTTGATAGCTGAAGAAATCGAAGCGCGAATACTTTAGCCCAATCATTGGTTGTTACGGAGCGCAGAGGGGCTGATTGCCCCGCAGCAGTCACAGCTAAGGGACCAGGACCACCAACAAAATTTATAAAATATGTTCATCAGAATATGCGAGTGTTCCTTTCCTGCTCCACCAACCCAAGAATTGTTCATTCGGGAATTGCCCAGTGAGCAAAAAGTATGGGACGGCTAATTCGATGTATCCACGCCGCACAGCGTTTCGGCACCACCAGCATCCACCAGGCAAATGGAAACATCACGGACGTGAGGCGACGCGAGACACCGTACTTGTACCGATACATGAACTGACTAATCAGGAAGCGCAGGTGATTGTCTGAGAAGCTAGCTAGCACTGTACTGTCAGTTGCTCTGCTGTGTAGCAACCAACACATGCTTGCTAGTGACCTTCAGCTTCTTAAAACGGAATTATAATCATTTGTCTATGTTGTACATTACTCTGCTCTGGTTCAGCAATCAATGCAACGACCCAGAAAACCTTTTTACCAACATACATTTATTGCTTTTCTGTATAATGGGATATTCAAAAATACATCCTAAATCAAATTGTCAAACTATGTTACTGTGTATAGTTTCTATATGCTGTAGTGAGGCTCATCCTAGGGGGTACACAAAATACTCTAACACCTTTCTTGTACCCCTCCCCCCTTACCCTAAACCATTCATTCTTCTTACCTTCCTAATGCTCTTAGATTCTAAGACAAATGCACAGCTCCAACACATTTCCATGCAGTCTCTTCTCTGTTGGAAACATATAGTTCGCGTTTCTGATGGGTCAAACACTACAACGAAAGCGAAGCGAACTACAATGAAGCAACAGCGAGTCAACCAAAGCGGTTGACAGGAAGTCAACAGCAAGAGGTTAAATGAAGGTCAAAGGTTAGCGACCTTTGACTCGCCGAAAAGCAGCGCGACAGCAAGGAAACTTAACTGACTCACTATTGAGCAGTTACCCGAGTCGTCGTTGTATCGAACCGCAACAACAGCTACAGTTAGTTCAACCTTTCGTGTTCCTTGTAATCATATAAAGCCCTGTATCTCGTTGCTATTATTCTCTTATCTTGTTCTCACATACCAGTGCAAGGTGTCAGAGTACTTAACG